TTCACGTTATATTAATTAATTCACCTGTTGATGATGGTTAATGATTGGCTGAATCCACTTAAACTGCCAGTGATTGATTTGATTTGACTAATAGTCGACTTAGTCGACTAGTCGACTATTACTTGTCTAATTAATTGCTGATCTATTTTTCTGATTATGATTATTCTATTTATTGCACTATGATTGACCTGTATTTCTCTGTGATTAATTTATATTCTGTTCAATCATTAATCTATTATTTTTGTCGCTATGATTATACTGTTTATCTCTATTTGAATTGCCAAAGATTGAGCTGTACTACTTGTATAATTGATTTATGTTACTTGTCTATATTATTTATCCATAATATTCATTTTATTTATTTTTCTATGATTATATATTGATTTATATCCTAATTTAAAAATCACTGATTTTCATTATGATTTTTTTATCTCAATATAACTGACTTATACTACTGAATTATCATTCATTTATATTATCTATCTATTCTATTTGTTTCATTATGATTGATTTATACTACTGATATAACCAATTATTAATTTATACTATATTTGTCTTATTCTACTTATCTAATCTCACTTTATTCCATTTATTCAATAAAATGCAGATGGCAATATATTCAATAAATGGCAGTAGATCCGCTCTTTACATAATTTGGTAGTACAGTTATTCTATGTTTCGAATAATAAATTATCAAACTTTATTCTTAATTCAATTATTTAAAATTTTATCCATCTCTAATAAGTTGTCATAAATAGGATAAATAGAATAAAATGTCACATAATTAATAAGTAACGAGTCAAATGAGTGGAATGATCTATAATCGGGCAAATAAAACGAAATATTCATTATCCTGACAAATATTTTCATAAATAATCTCAAACTCATAAATAATCTCAAACTTAAACGATCCTATACAAATTTCTCGAGAGTCTCTCAGTGTATCAATGTATTCAACAAAGCAATGATTTCGCTCAGAGCATCGAAACGTCTAGATCCTTCCAAAGTTTCTCGCACAAGCTACAATAACGTGTGATTATCGTTTCACGCTCGACTTGGCCGAGCAAAAATACGCTATTCAGCAACTTTTTGTCCTCGTATAGATACAGAGTGTAGCTCTCTCTGCCACTTCTCTCCCCTCCTTCCTACGTTTAGAGAAACGGTTGAAGCACACGTGCTGTTATTGTCTCTAACGTGCTCGCCTATTGGAGACTATCTGAAGAAAGTTTTGATGGGTATCAGTTGAGCAGGATTATGGTATTTTTCGCATGGTAACTTTTCAATCTTTTTAATTCTGGGAATAACAAAATCGTAGAAATGATCGAAAATTCGCAAAGATTGATTCTGGAAGTTTCGGTAGAAGTAATAAAATTTAAAGGCGTGATTATTTCAACGTTCAAAGTATCATTTTTATAAAATTCTCATAGTTTTATTCTTCTAGAATAGCGATCTCGAATTGTATCATATTTTCAATTATATTTTATCATTTTATTTTAAGTGTAAAGTGTTCTAACGTCAGAGTTTCATTTTCTTGGAACATTATTCTATTTTTTTCAAAATGTCTATAACTTGAGAAGTATTTGAGAAATAAACGATTTCTAATTGAAAAAATTAATTTTGTTTTATTAAATGAAGAATAATTAATGTATTCAATTATTATCAAATCATTTAAGATATTACAATTCTAAGAATAATTTATAATATAACAGTTATTACAATATTACGGTTATCAATGAAAAATAAAAGACTATATATTTCTTAAATCATTTGTGTGAATAATGAAAAATTTAAGACAACATAATATTCAAAAAAATATCAATTACAAATCGATAATTCTATTAATAATAATCGAAATAATAATCAAACAACTTTTTCTCAAATATAAATCACTGAATGCTAAATAAATTAAATAATATTGAATATGTTAAATAATATCGAATTAAAAAAACTCATTAAGTCAAACAAATAAAACAGAAAATAACGATCTCTAGTAATAAGAAATTTATCTTTGGAAAAGAAAAAACAAAGGAATTTAGAAATCCAAACGATCACGAATTTCTGTATTTAATCTCGTCGATCAATTTCCGTGTCCGTATCGTTGTATAAAGTATTGTAACAAAACGGATATAACAAAACGAGAAAAAGTGTAATATACAATTTAATCACAGACTAGCATGACATGAATACGTACATAAATTAAATAAATTAATCGAATGTTCGGATTGGCAATTAAGGGTTAATTAAGCTGCCGAGTTCATAGATTTTATGATACGTCTCCATTGTGTTATTTAACGAGATGTATAATTTCGGAGAAAATATACGGGAACAATTTGTAATAACCGTGATCTGAATTTATGGCGATGATGGAGATTTTTATTTCGTTACTGAAGATGTTTTTTTTTTATCATGAAAGTGGCGAGATATTAATTAAATGTATCAATTATACAAGTATAAGGTTATCTAAGAACATTAAAACATTGGAGTTTCCTCATTAAGTTTATAAAAAATCATTTATTAAGGTATAATGAATTTACAAAGAGAAGTCTATAACTTTGTAATTACAATAGAAACGTATATTGTAAATTGGATATACGCTAGTCGATAATATTAAAAGACCTCGTAATATTTTTTTTCATTTTATCTTGAAAAAAAATAAGAAATCACTTGAATTATTATTAGATCACGAATTATTTATACAAATTTAGAATTTTACGAATAATTGAATTAAATCTTTAAATTGTTTTTTGTACGTCATATAATACTACAAACAAACTATATAGCATTATTAATGATTAAGACTCTTCATAAATTTAAAAATTAAAATCAAAAAGATATCGAGAGAATTATTATTTTAAATTCGAATCAATAAGTTTCATTCGATTTTAAAATAAAGGAAGCTGAAATTTTACCACACGTATGAATTCATCATCACACTTCACATTATATCTTGTATCGATTCAACTAAGAGAAACATTTTACCGTAGCAAGATGTCTTCACCCAACGTTGTCCATAAAGTAGATAAAAACGCGGAGGCAGCGATCCGTTGGTAAAAGCCTTGCTCCTCGATGATGGCAAACACTCGATGGTAAAAAGAAGAAGAAAAGAGAGAGAGAGACTTCCTTCGTACTTTTGTGAAACAGAAGTATGGGAAGCAAGTGGATCGAGAGAGACGAAGAAACAGAGATCTTTGGAAAGAAACAATTCGTTTTAAACGTCGACTAGATAAAATTTATGGTGGTTAATGTAATAATCCCTCCTAAGTGAGAGTTTGATATAGTCTCGCAGTTTCGAAAAGAGGAATTGTACATGTATAAGGATATATAAGTTCCTTTTAAACGAGAACAGTTAGATATAAGGAAAAATGTTTTCATATCTATATTAATTAATAGTCTAAATGGAATTATGTAGGAATGAATAAAATGAATTTCTCAAGATAATTTTTCAATTATGATGGCTATTTCAAAATTCTATCGTATAATTTTGAATCATTGATTTCATACAAAAAAGAATTTTTTCACGTTCCTGAATATTTTTGATCTCGTTTCATTCTATCCTTGTTCATTGTATTCATCGAAAAATCTCAATATCTACCATTGAAGAGAAATTCTTTTCGATTTTTCATGCGATATATTAATCGATTTTCCATAAAATACGATATGGTACTTAAACGATATTTAATTTATTTATTTCTTCGTTACCAAACAATCTTTGTTAAAACATTTTTTTTTTCTTTTTTCGACAACTTTTCGAACCCCACCAATGTTTTGCTGTTCAAAGATTTAAACACCCTGCACAAAAATTTCTTCCCGACTTATCTTCAGTCGAGCAGAATAATCTTCTTAGTCCGATATCGTTTCGCATTTTTACCCCCGTCACGGGGGTGGGCGTATAAGGTTGGAAAGAGAGGCTGGAGAGAGAGAGAAAAAAAAAAGAAAGAAAAAGGAAGGAACAATGGCGGGGAAGGAAAAACGCAGTGGCCTTCTAAACAAAGGAAAAAATAGAGGGGGATAGGGAGAACGGGAGGAAGGAATGTAAGTAAAAATAGAATAGGAAGAAAGGAAGGAAAAGCTGGCCGTTGGGACCAGAACGCGTTCCTATTGTGTATATGCGCACGAATGCATATTATCGTTGGCCCCAATAGCCTCGCGTGGTGTTCGATCTGAACGAAAACATGTATGCGTGTAAGAGAAAATGACGAGAGATTGATACTTTACGAGTATTTATTGCCATATCGATCGCGAATGGATTTTTGATTGGTTCGTTAGAATTTTTTTAATATCGCGTCTCGCGTTTGATTGATCGTCTTGATTTGACACCATTTTTAATATTTGGCGGATGATACTTATTGCATAGTGCTTCGAGTAGATCTCGTTTTTTTAGAGCGGAATGATGTTTGTTTTTAATACGATCAATGGTCTTATTGCATTTGGTTTTAAGCAGGTTTTGATTTTTTTGAAGAAGAATTTGACCAGTGACCCTTGTTTTTAACTGTATTCGTTAATCCTAGTAGATTTTGATTTTTTGGGACAGAAATTGCATCGAAGTGATAGAGAGGATCCATCATATTTCTTTCAGATTAGAATCTGACATAATAGATTGGCCATTTTGACTAAAAATTTATATACAGATAATGGAGGTTGATAGCGATGCATTGACAAAGATTGATATGATGCGGTATCCAATAGTTAATAATTTTCCAAGAACATCGCGACAATAAGATAAAATTTGGTCAATTATTCTTAGAATAAAAATTATTAAAATTGTCTTAACTATTAAAAAAAAAAAATCCTAAATTTCTTTAAGATCTCAAAAAATTTATTCATCAAATTTCAATTTTCATATCCTTATCGCCTCAAAATCGTTATAAAACTATATCTAATTAATATCAAATCTAAACTATATATAAACACATTTCAATTAAAAATTACCAATTTAAAAAAAAAAAAAAAAGCAAAATCATATTTCATTACATTTCTGACCTACAATTTACATTTTTCAGGCGAAGCATGGAAGAGACGTGGTTCTCCTGTTCACTTCCATATAAAACCCTTTTATATACGTATATACGGAATAGTGACCAGCTTGGCAGTGCTTGGACCGATCGATTTTTCAGTATTTCCGCGTGTATCGATACCCTCTCGTCCGCGGTTCCCTTTTTTTCCCCTCCTTTTTTCATTCCCTTTTCTCCGCCATTCTCCAAGTCATACCACTCTTCCTCTCCAACCTTGCTAAGTGGATTATCATCGTTGGGGATTTCGAGCGTCGGTCTTTGACGTAACGAGAACGAGGAGTGCGAGAAACGGTGGCGCGAGTTCGAAGGCAAGGCGCGCATGTCGATGCTCAAGGCAGCCAATGGACTGGTTGAAATATTAAATGGGAGCAAAGACCCTGTTCTCGTGCACCACGTAGCCATGGTTCAATTTCTACGCCGGCGGCGGCCTAGGTGTGGGGAGAGGGGTTGAATGAAAATAGACGACGACACAGGGTGAAACGAGGTGGGTGGCGGTTGGGATAGAGACGATGGGAGAGTCGAGAGTTAGGATTTCGACGACACTACCAGCGACATCTACATTTCGCGACTGGCTGCAGAGACGCAAAAAGAAGAGGGACGTCTCCCCACCATTCGGCCGCGCATGCGCAACTTGTAAAATCTCGGTCCGCATTCGAAGTATAATATAAGGAAATTTGCCACTTACTGTATATAGAATGATTCCAAATTGGTGGTATTCTTGGATTTTTGGTAAAGATATTCTGGATATTCTTTTTTTTTTTTTTAAATATGTATTATATTTAATTTTCTTTTATTTTATTCTTTTTTAGTTTGGAAAATTAGCATAATACATACATCATATGACAAATATTTCTTTGTAGTATATGCTTTGGAGTATAGGTAAGTAATAATATCAATTAATATTTTTAGATTGATTAAAATTTTTAATTTATATATATGATATATAATTTTCATTAAGGATCTTTAATAACGTTTGATTTTTTTTTTATCTTTTGTTATATATTATTTTATAATTCTTTTTACACTTGTTATTTATCTTTTGATGAATTTGGTAAATTCGAAAATAAATATTCTTTTTGTTTAATAATACAAAAAAATTGTAGGAGTATATACGTACAATATAAATGTACATGTGAATTGAACGTGACCTTAAAAACTTATAAAATGTCATCACGTAAAGGTTAAGTGATTAAAGTTAAAACTCTTAATATCCATGGAATAAAAATCTTGCAACAAAACATGTTATAATTAATCGATATATAAGGAAACGTATAGCGATTTCTAAAAAAAAATATAATCTTTAAATATTTAAAATATCTTCATTTCTAAAAAATACACTCCATGAAAAAAGCAAATAAACGTCTGCACGAAAAGCATCGCCTCCAATGCACCATTTGAAACCATTTTACTTCGTTCTCCTCATACCAAATGCACGAACATGCAAATTCTCTTTTTAAGTACGGACGTGGAATTTTTTATTTTTAATTTCAGACTGCAATCCGGAAGTTAAACTCTGAAGTAAATACCGACCTCAATCTTATATCTTACATTTAAAATATAAATTTTCATAAGTAATTCGTGCCTCTGATATAGGGGATTTAATTTCATCTAAAAAAAATTTCATCTTTTATCTTCCAACATTTTTATCGCGTTTTTAATTCCGAAACATCCTTCCATTCAAAATATCAAGTTTCACGAGTAACCAAATTCACATCTCTCGCGCAAGAGCAACAATTTCGCCCAAGGAAATTTTATCTTCCATCTTCTACCATTTTTTTTTTTTTCACATAAATCATCCTATACATCACGTAACCGACGTCTTGTAAAACATCTATCCATTTGAAATATCAATTTTTTCCAACAAAATTTTTAATTCTCTTGTATTTTAAACCCATATAATTATCCCACTCACATTGTATATCGAATCTCAAGCATTCTACCATCTCTTTTCACCGCATTCCTTGGGACGATTAACTGTGAGGGGAAGAGGAAGAGGAATAATATTGTATATGGGCGATTAAGAAAATTCGAAGTGTTTAGGAGTGGGAGTATGGTCGATGAGGAGAATTAGCAGCATTGTAGAATAACGACGGGCGTTTGTTTCCGCGCTCAGGCATCATAGAATAAGCGAAGTGATGACGAGGTGTACGGAGTGGACGATTTAAGGGGGCTTGTTTTGGGGGATGATTATGCGGTCTCGAGGAAGTTTAGCTGAGTGGAAGGGGATGTTTAATAGGGTTGCGTTGCAGTGTCAGTTTTATTAATGCGATGAAATGTGTCGTTAAAAGTATCCGGGGGATTATTGTTGCCTTGGAGGGTTCCGCGTGATTGTGATAATAATGCAAATTCGATCGAGTTTAATATACGAAAATTAATAAATGGTGATGGGATTATTATTTATACGAGATTGTGAAAATATATCGGTGTTATTTTTTATTAATTAGATTAATTAATAGAAAATATATCGGTGTTATTTTTTAGATTATATTAGATTAATTAAGAGATGGATTAAGAACGAATCGAGCTTTTCCCCTAATCTTTCGATATATTATACATTTAATTTGTGAAATTGATTACGTTATAATATAAATTTTTTATTTCAATAAATCTATATGAAATATAAATAAAATTATCTTTATATTCTTTCGATCACAAATTTTAAAAAATTTATAAAACGAACTTTCTTCGTTCAATCGAATTTTCAACTTCCTAATACAATTTTCACGTTAAACAAAATTCGAAATTCACGATTGACCAACCTCGTACATTCATTTTTCTATTTCGACCTCAACGGAATCTTATCTTACCAACAATGCATGCAATGCAATTAGAAATTAACCCGAACCATCCTAGGATATTCAATAATACGATATATCAATACGCGTGATTGGCAATTGCGGTTTGCTCGAAACACCTGTGTAAGATAGACCGACCACGATATACGTGGATTAATGTCTCCTCCCAACCATGGATAGATACGCGGAAAATTGCTTCTCGTGCAACAAGAAACCGCTAAATGCGCCCGAACGTCACCAAGAATAGAGTTTCCGAATATCGGCGCACGAGATGTTATCCAAACTTGAAACTATCCCGGAGCATAGATGGGCAAAATTTTAAATAGTTGAAGTTGTTACTAAGTTGGCAAAGTTACTTGGATAATTTATTATTATACACGTGGATGAATTAATGAAGAAATGGATAGCATTTTAATAAGTAATTACGTATAGTATTACTTTATTCATAAATTTTTTTAACTAGTTTTTCAACGGCTAATGCACGTGCAGTATAATGGATTATAGAATTTTATTCTTTGATAGAAAATTTTCTTTGAAATCAAACTTTTTTTTTTCTTTTTTTTCATGATAATTATACGAATTTCTCCGGGTATATTTTTTTTTTTTGCAACAGGATAATTAAAATTTGAAAATAATAATTGAGAATTATCAATTGATTGCATTCCCTTGAAGTGATATATTTTATTCAATTGATAAAATAATTAAAATGTTGCATTATATGTAATTGATCTAATTTATGATGTATGAAGAATGAAAATAATGGAATTTTAAGGGTTGATTTTATTGATAAAAAAAAATAAACCTTTTATACATAACCTATATTGCAATGCATAGAACGAAATTATTGTTGGATTTTGTAGCACAATTTATTCGTTGAATTCGCGTATAAAGAAAGATTCACGAAAACTTAAGTAGTTTCTTTAAAAGTTCTGTGACCCGTTTCGAAAACTACTCGTGGAATAAATTGAAATCGATATCTTTCGGGTATGAAGTTCTATTTTCGAGGATATAACTGTGTATTTTTAAATTCGATATTTTTTTTTCCCCCTCTCTTTTTTCCCTTTTCAATTTATTCGTTATCCGATTGGTGAAGAGAGATTGAAGCAAACTTTAAATCCAGTGTTCATCTATTTTCACTTCACCTCCCCTTTTTTTTGGATTCGCGCTTCGAGCTTTTTCCGTATTTTACGATTTGTCTTTCTTTATTTCGATGGTTATACTTCTAAGAAGATACTCTTATTCTGAAAATCTCATTGTCAAATTTTCAAATATTCTCTCTCCTAACACGTTAAACTAAATTTACAATGAAAAGAAGAAAAATTCAATTTTTTGAAAGGATCGTAATACTTCGGTTAAACTTTCCACTTTATCGATCTTCTATTTCAATCTAATAATAAAATTCATCTAAAATTTTAGATCATATTTTTAAGATTAAAAAAACGACGTTAAAAAAAGAATTTCATTTCCGGCCGGGAATAAATAATAGCATGATAAACATTCAAACAAAACGATTTTACCTAAACTGAATTATTTTATCTTTCATTTTTCTTTCTTCTGCTTTTTTTTAATATTATTTTTACCGTTATCACAAATATCCATACGTTTCACAGAGTAAATCGAGCTGGCCATTTCGATGGTTACGCTTTTGTGCGACTGAAAATCAAAGGAAGTAATTGACACTGTGGCGAAAGTGGTATTTGTTGAAAAACCGCGAATTTTGGAAGCATGTGAAAAAGGATAAATCGTGTATCGGATAACTTTGTGGAAAAATTTTTTGATCGATGGCTGTCGTCGAAAGGAAAGTAGATTAAAATTAGACCGATTTAAATTTCGCGCTTAACTTCGCGGATTTTGGCGAGAGAGAAATCGAATGTAAAAAAAAGGATAATACAAAAATAGAAAGAAAATTGTTAAAATTGTTAAAAAATTTTATCAAAAAGTATAAATATTTTATTTTATAAAATATAATTGAATAGCATATATTAATTATAACGAATCGGAGATTAGGTTAAAATATCCTCGTTCTAATAATTTATTTATTCCCATATTATACCATATTCCCATATTCTATAAAAATGAAATAAAAGATGCGATTAAAAATAACGTCAATTATTTTTCGCAATTTAATTTAAACAATTATTTATCCTTAAATTAATCAAATCATATCAATATTCTTCCATTCCATTTATAATTTTTCGCAATGTAATTTCTTTCTCTCGCTTACCGCTAGTTTCCTTAAAATGTCCCTATACAATTTCTCACTAGAGAACCAGAAACTCGAGCGTTCGAAACTTTGATCGGTAATTTACGAACGCGGAACATCGTTAGCGCCTCCCCCTCCACTTTCCTCGAATCAACTTCTGCGTTCACCAGCCGCGCATAATTCATTCGCGTGTTTGACGTATGTAATAATAGAAACAATGGGACAACGGGGCACGGTAACGCGACAGCAATAACTCATCCGCTGTCCCTACGCGCATAACTCCTCGGCTTGGCTATCTTTTGAGACACACCGTCGTTGCGCGTTGTTGATTAATCAAACCGAATAATCTGGTCGAGCTGAATTCAAATAATACACTAACCCCCCTCCTTCTCCTTCTATCGCATTCGACCACGCCGGTGTAAACATTAATAATCAACGATAGCGAGATGGGGATAGGTTGGTTGTACGTGCAATGAATTTGATCGTGATCGAGGAGAAAGTAATTTGGATAAATTATTTTTCAACGAAAGAAAATTACTCGTATTTTGTTTCATCACATGTATATTTTTATAAGTTTTACGAAGAAGAAAAATTAGAGTGTTGGCCAATTTTTCTTAGAGAATAAACGAAGGATGGTTATTTTGGAAAAAATTTAATTTTGATTTAAATTTATCCTGGTAAATGATCATATATACATAAAAATTGAACGATCTATAATGGGTTTTTTAAAATAATTACTCAATATTGATATTAGTTTAAATATTAGATATACCAGTGATTTAAAGCTATATATACTCATAATTGCATATCTAAGTATCATAGTGGTGTAAGCCAATATAATTTTATATTGATATAATTTATTCACTTATTAAGTGCAATTCGATCGACATAATATAAATAGAAAAAAAGCACCAAAACCAAAGAATATAAAAATGTGTAAAATGTACAAATTGAAAAAAAAAATTATCCTTTTTAAAATTAAAATACACCATATCTTACACCACTACGATTCTCAGTTCGACGTAAGCTCAATTTCGTGTCGGTATATATAATAATAGTATACAATTTGTGGAACGTACACAAAGAATTCTTCACGGTTAGAAAAAACGAACGTTCGGTGCAAGAATATCGCGAATCCATAAACGCGTCTGCGCATAATAAGTCGATGCAATTTGTACGTTCTTTATTGGATGCATTTGTATTTGGTTAATTACATTGTTACACGGCGTCGGCCATTATTTCGACGCGGCAGAGTTAATAGGACGATAATACACTTTTCGTAACTTGCTCCGCCGCCATTCGGTCTGCGCCTGAAACATGCATCAATGAATTTTTTTCTCTCTCTTTCTCTTTTTCTCTTGGCATAAGTATTTTCTATTCGAACGAACTTTCAACGTTTCGATTTTTCTCACGCGATCAATCATTGGTTTAGTTTTGTTTCAATTTATTTCAATTTTTTTTTTTTTAGATTAAGTTTTTCTTTTTTTATTTTTTTAATAAAAATAATAAATATAGAGAGAAAAATAAAATTTAATTTTTATTCGAAGAGAAATTTAATAAAGCATCATATCGTAACATGTTGAAATAAATTTCTTTTTCAGGAAATTGATAAATTTTTTTTTATATTTTCTTTAGCACGGTATTTCTTTTAATCGAATACTTTAGAAGTGAATCGATTAGTAGGTTCAGATATAGTAATTTAATGCTTTAAGAAGTACTGTTTTCAATATCAAAAGTGATGAAAATTGCTTCATGGAAATTTTCAAATAATAATTTTGCAAAATGTTAAAAAAGATTTCTATATTATTATCCAAGTGAAATACTAAGAACTTCAAAGTTTTTATAATAATTGGCCGATATAGATATACTGTTTGATAAGTAGTTTGATTAATTTTTTTCTGGAATCTTCTTGGTAAAGAGTAAAAATAAAACTTTCCAAGAAGCCGTTTCATATCTTGAAAGTAAACGAGAGAAGATTAATACTACTTGCCAATATTCCTTATTACTCAATTATATATTTCGAAACATTTCCCTCAACTTTTTCCAACATTGCACATCTCGTTTCATTCTAGCTTACATTTTGTTGACAAATCTAACTAATATTTACGACTCTATAAATCCAACAAATTTACCAGCATTTTTAAAAAATTCGATTATTGAGTATTTATATAAAAATATTTTCAAAATCGAATATCAGATTTACAATTTGTATTCTCAACTAGTCCACACCATTTAATTTAATTCAAAATAATCATATAAAATACAAATCTAGTTTGAAATAATAACTTTTTCTCGTTCTTCAAAAAAAAAAAAAAAAAAAAAATTCAAATATCACATACTCGGTATCATTATTCTCCATATCTATCCACCATCAAAAATAAAATAAAATCCGTGATCTCGGATGTTCTCCGCCATTAGTGACCCCCCCTCTTACCGTGCACGACCGCCATAGTTGTTGTCTGGCGCGAGCAGAAAAGTTTCCAGACACTTTTAACACCCTCGGGCGGGATATACTTCAAGTTCACGCGACGTATATAACCGCGCGAATTTCCGCGAGTTCGCCCTAATTAACAAGATGAAAATCGCTTTCGTACCTTCAGGTCGCGGTTAGATACCACCTTTTGATCATTTTTAATCCAATTTTCAGAGCTACGGCCTCGCCTCGCTTATTATCACCGTGAGATCTTGTTTTTCCCCTCCACCTTCTCCCCCATTCCTCTAAATATTCGTTTCTTGAGATGAAGATTTCCATTTTAAACTTTTACTCCCCCCTCCCTCCTCTCCCTCCTTCTGGTCAAGATTGAACAGCGAGTTAAGGTGTCACACGCACCGATGAACGAGCATCATACGTGATATATTCTATCTATTAACCGTCACATTGTTAAAAATGAAAGGCAGCGAGCTAGACCCCTGTAATTGTGGAGGAGAATCCTATTGTGGGGTTTGTGGAGGATGATGAGAGATAGGGAGGATGAAGGAGGTAAGGGTCTCGAGAAGAGGCGTCCCGTGGACTTATGGTAGTTGTATTAGTTGGATTGGGTTTCTGCAGAGGGCAGAGGTGAGTATTGTGAATGAGAGCGAGGAATAATGGGAGAAAAGATTGTGATTAAATTGTTTCTTTTCGTGACGAATAATTTTGACTCGTTGATTATTTCTTTGTTGTTGGAATAATTTGATATTGGTATAAAATCAGAGTGGAGTAATGGAAACATAAGTGAGAAAGAACGATGAAATGTATAAGTTGTGTTAGTTATTTCAGTGAATGTAAATGATACAGCTGCAAAATGCAGAAGATTTAGGTTTTTTTCCTATTAATTTTCACGTTAGATGAAATAATAATAATAATTTAAAGTTGAAAGTCGATATATTAATTTATTATTATATTTTTGATAAAGAAAAATGTGAAATATATTTCTAGTTTTCACCAGGAATAAATTGACACGTTGAAATAAAAAATTGAAATTTTGTAGTTGTTTTGAACTTGAGATGTTCCTTTAAATTCTATTTTTTTTATGCTTATTTAAAAAGTAATTGATATATAATCTCTTAAAAGAGATTTTATATAACCACTTTAAAGTTATAAAATCTCGTAACGAATTTTTATTTATTATTGAAAATAACTTTTATGTAATATTAAATACTGAATCGAGAACACTGATTACGATTTCTTTTAATCCACTACGGTTCTTAACAAAAAAAAAAAAAAAAAAAAATTAATCGATACTGTAATCTGAAAAAATTTATAATCACTTTGGAGCTTTAATTGTAAAGCTTCAATGGATATAGAAGATTTTTCTTTTTTCTTTTTCTTACAAAAGTTTATATAAATTCAGAAAGCAATAATAGCAATAAAAATCATTCGTGTGATGGAAAAATATTCGAACAGAAGAATATAATTAAAAGAACATTTTCGACTGTATAACTGTATAAAAATATTATTAAACTATTTTCAAGTAATGAAACGGTGAATCTTTCATCTAATTAACAATGAATATCTAAATGAAGAATAGAGTCCCATTTTATCATATGAATTTTTAACACTACTTCCTTTAAGATAAATTTGAATCTCATAACAAAATCATATTGAAATTTTAATGCGAGAATGTCCGTCAAAACAGATATATGCTTACGTGTTTCTAATATTTTTATGAGAAGAGGAAAAACTGGAAGGATGACACAAACAAACAAAAAATTTTAAAAATCCTTTTAATCTTAAAAACAATTAATTCAATTATTTAAAAGAATTTTTTTCTTTACGTCTTACCTCAGGCCTTAACAGCTTGTTGATGCAATTGATTTTACTGCACAGAATCTCCAATTCCAAACGTTCCTTGCAAAGCTGTCGAAACACACAAATAGAGAAAGTGAGGTTAGGTCGCGTAACTTCATCGTAAGGGGAGAGAAATTTATTCGAGAATAGAACCAACCATTTTCTTCGTCTTCTCTTGAAACACGTCGGTCTGCTGGAGCTGGAAATCAGAAAGCAATTTACCATTTACCGTAACTATATTGTTTCACCGCGTTGTTCCTCATACTACACCATTCCAACTTATCCGAAGGCAAAACAACGGAATGCACTTTCCACATGGGGCGCATCGAAAACAAACTTACGTGCTTATGAATACAATTGTAGATCGGCCTGATGTCCGCCACGCTTTTTTTCCGGGGAATTTTCTGCAAATTAAACTTATTAATTTATTTATCCTCCTCATTGGATTTTTCTTAAAAAATTGCCCACGAAAAATACCTTATTTGTTTCCTTTTGAAGCTCTTGAAAATCCTTCTCATTCGAATTGGTCGCTTTTTCATTCTGAGATTGAAGTGCATGCAAGAATTAAAGAGTAAGTATTTTTTTTTTTAAACAGAATATTATTAAGATTAACAGATTTATATTTATTTAAAAATATTTCAAGAAAGGAAATGACGAAATATTTTTATCAACGATAATAAATTTATTAATGTCGAAAGATGATTATAATTATTATTACTTTATTTTTTAACAAATAAACGAGATTTTAAAAATATTAAAAAAAAAAGAAATTTGATGAAATTCTTTTCGCGAGGATTGTTACTTAATCTAATCTAACCAAACATAACCTTAAACTTTCATCGTTCCGTGAAACGCACGCGATAACTCTCTTGTATACACAAAACGTTGAAAGGAATAAAAAAAAAAAAAAAAAAAAAAGACACGAAGAGGTACTCGTAAATGAATTAAGATTTCATTTCGTGACAACGTATCTGTATATACAGCCACTTCGTGATTTAATGCTTCGTTACTCTACAATTGTCCCGTTTAATTCGTGGCCGATTTATTCGTCTGGATGAACGAAAGGCAGACAGATCGATAACAGTGGAGAAAAGTATCGTCGACAAGGTGTCTCGCAATTACGATTGTTCGATTTGCATCTCTTTCTTTTTCTTTCCTTCTCTTTTCTCTTTTCTTTTTTTTTTCTTTTCTTTTCTTTTCTTTTAACTTTTTACCTCTTTAAGAGTTTTGATTAGCGGAAAGATCGAAAGTTTGTATCGATGTTGAAACGGTGAAAAAGGTTAATTCGATCAAGCACGAAGTTGCCAACACATCGGATTATTTAGCTCGCTTTCCATCGGATTTCGAAATGTTCTTCACTTTTAAAAAAGTAACAACTTTTCTCTTTTTCTTTTCGAGAAATGATCGATTCCTGTCTCTTTAGTTTTCAAAGATGAATAAGTATTTTTTAAATATTTCATTCATTGGATTTTGTTATCGATTGGCATTATTAAATGTTTATTGTTTTTAGATTGAAAGTATTAGAGTGACATTTAATAATTTAGTGAAAATGCAAACAACTTTGAAAGGTTTTTTGTTCTAATAGCAATTAATTTATTTTAATTAATAAAATGTTGATGATTTTTCCTCCTCGTAATTATTCACAGACACCTTTCATTTATATCTTTGAATTAAAAAATCCACAAGAAATATTATGATTAATTATTAATTATTCCATATTACAATTTTTTTTTAATATAAATAGAAAGAAACTCACGAAACTATAAATTAATTCTCTTGTAAAATATTGAATGAACGACAATTTGTTCGAAATTGAATATGATTTTTATAAAAAAAAAAAATATTTTATTATCGAAAAACAGGATAATAATATAAATTCCTCGCAAGAAGGAACCTTTGGACTCACCATGTATGAATAGAGGAGGAGGATCAAGATCATGAGTCCAGTTATAAACGTAATGGTTCCGCAGAACGGACCCAAATCAAGCATATTCCTCAATTTAGCGTCCGTCAGTAGATATTGGTATAGCTGGAATAAAAAAAAAAAGAAAAAAAAAAAAAAATATCAGGCATTCGAAATGAAACAATTTTACATCTTCTTCTTATCCCTTGGCATACCAAGATGAAGATATTATTGATATTTATGAAAAGAGAATTTTTTTTTTTTTAACAAAGCACGAATTTTAACATGGATCGATTTATTTCGTATAAATTGTGAAAATACAAAAATTATTCGATTATTTCCTTCGATTTATCAAGAAATTTCATTTGTTCAGTTTGTTTTTTAAATTATAAGCGAATTTTTAAAAAAATGAAATTTCTTAATTAAATAAAAGCGATAGTTTTTGTATTTTTATAATTTACGAGACGAATCGATTGAAGTATGTCACATATAAATTCACGTGGCTCCATCTTTATAATGAAATTCTTTTTAAATTGAATAATATAATCATCGATAAAATGTGTCATTATTTAATATTATTTAATATATATTTAATATTACAAGAATTTTCAAGAAATATATTTTTAATAAATATCTATTAATAAATTTTCATTATTAATTTTCTAATATTTCTAAAAGTAAAAAATTTATCTCCTAAGTGACACCCATATGTAACAATATATAACCTAACCTAATAACTAATAACTTATTGCTAATAACAACCTTAAAAAAAAATACTTGATAAACATTACTTAATAAACAAATTTTTCTCTAATTTTTCATTCCAAACATACATTCGCAAAATATTATTGAATATTGGGGATCTCTGAGTGATCTCATCTTGGTATGCTAAAGGTTAAAAGGAGGATTTTCTACGGACCAGCCATCGTGGCCCAAAATGATAGGTTTTGTAATATCTGTGGATCCTTGCGATTTCCATGACATCGAGTTTTCGTCCCGCGAAGCTGATAATTCGTCGCTATTGTCACGAGCATCACGTGAATTTGGACGGGCCACGAGAATCGAAAAAACTGACAGTTTTTGGAGGATCGTTTGACATAAAATGATCGATGCGCCCTCTTCAATTTCTCTCCTTACTATTCATCTCGTCTTCGATAGACGATTTGTACACAGGATGTCGCGATTTTTTATCGCAATTTTTCTATTTTTCGTCCTAGCATCTTAATATTATGCATTTTTACGGGAAGAAAAAGTTGAAAATTTTAATTTCGAGATTTATTCGTAATATTGGAATTTTCAATTAATTAAAAAGGTGAATAGTAGTAAACACCGACGATACAAATTGATACAGCATATTCAAACAACAATGACGATAACTAGAGATCCATGCTAAAAAGCGAATCTTCGTAACGATATTATGTTTTTCAGCAATTGGCTTCCATGTACTCTTATATATATATATATACGTTTTTATCCTCAATTTTCCATTTTCTTTCATTTCTTTTCTTCATTTGCGATACCATTTTGTATTTTTTTTGCAACGATCGAGAAATATTTATTTATATTTTCGATCATAATTCGATCATAATCGACGAGACAAAGGAGGTTAGATTAAGTCATTCGTTTTTTTTATCCTGTTTTATATTCCTCTTGTATATTTATATCACCTTATATTTCTTTGTAATGATAAAGAAATGCTTATTTATTTTTTCATTGGAATTTTTCACGAGTTCGATAATCGATGAAATATGGAAAGAGGTTAGGTCAATCATTAATCGTTTTTACTTCTCTATTTTTACTTCTCTCGTATATTTTATTTATTTATTCAACGATTTGGTCAATGAGAAAAAGAATGAATTATTTCTTATTCCTCTTTTTAAACCTTCTCACTTCTCACTATATATATCGCGTCACTTCTTGTTTCTTCGAAATAATTTATATATATATATATAGGAATTCTTAAAATTTAAATTTTGAATAAATTAATTATTCATTCATAGAAATTATTTAATTTAAATATAATTTTAATATTATTAAAGAAATTTCTTTTTTTAAAGAAAAAATTTGTAATTCGAAAGGAAGGAAAAAGGTTAGGTTAGATCGTTTTCTCGGTTTTTATGGTTAAATTCCCTGAAATTCGTCGAATTTAATAATGATTTAATAATTTGATTGCGTTTTCTTTTCTTGTTGTTTCTTTTAATAAGTTTAAACGATTTGGATTATTTTCGTGTGACAATAGAGGATAATCTTGGTTACAGTGGTGAATATTATTTCATGCTTCTTTGCGCGTATTGAAAAAGGTTAAATGACGCTTTGAGTTTGTATTATTTAATTAAAACTTCGTGTTTATCTTGTTTGTATAATTATTTCAATATTTCGATATTATATTGGTTTCAAAGAGCAGTACCAATATTTGTCCTGTTATTACCGTTATTAAATAAGAATGAAAATTTGTAAATTTAATAATTATTTAATCATCTATTTTTTTTTTTTTTTAAAGTCAGTTTTGAATATTGTTTTGAAGTCTTTTCAAGTCTTAATATACTTTTTATTTCTTATGAATAAAAGTTATATTGATTATTTAACATTAACTTTATTTTTTTTATTTTATTTACTTCAATGCCATTAACAATTAAAAATTTATGATGTAACAATGAATACAAAAAGAATTGCGATCAGATTTCCTTCTTTCAAATTATCTTCGTCAGATTGGTGAATTAATAATTAATTCGTCAGAACAAGATTCTCTTCTCTTCTTTTTTTTTTTTTTTTTTTTCGTAGAATATTCCATTAATAATTAAAATTTTCGATATAATGAAACTAAAATTATCCATTTAAAGCTACAATTAGATTCAAATTTCTTACCTCTTAATTTTCCATATTCTCGACCGAGTTATGAAACGAATTATAATATTAAATATTAATGTTATTAACAATTAAAATTTTCGAATTACCCAATCACAATCAAACTAAAAAATTTTTCCATATAACGATTACTTTTTCCCTATAATTTTCCTCGAATATAATTAAACCAAAATTATCGTATCAGGATAAGTGTTTAAAATTTTCGAAATTTCGATGAAAAAAAAATATGGAATCGTCAAAATTATCGATCAAAGAAATCTTCTTTTAGTTTCCTTTCCTCGCATTCTCGATAAAATTAAAATTAAAATTTTGATAAGTCTCTTGAAAAAAATCGTTCTAATCGTTTGGAATCACAGTCGGAATTAAAAAGCAGATTTCCCTCTTTCCAATCACTTTCGATTGAGGTCGCGTAGAATGTTGCATTCCCTTCTTAACCACGTCGGAAATAGAATTTCATGACTATTTGTTGGCGTCGCCCGGACGTCCGGACATGGTAGAGTCAGGATATCGGCCGTACCACGGTATACTGCCGCATCCGTGTAAAAGACGTCTCTGTAAATTGTGGCGTAAATTGAAAATGTTTCGAAGATCGGAGAAAGGGCGAAGCTTTTCAAGAAACGCTTCACAGTTAGCTGGAAGAATTTCACCGAGTTCTCCAAAGAGGATACATACACAACCAATGCTGAATCTCGCTATTTGTCTAGAATGTCTTCCATCTTATCCATAATGTCCAAATATGGAAATATGGAATATATATTTATATATTTTGACGAGAGCGAAGGGAATAAAAGGATCTAATTTTCATTAATCCTTATAAATAATTAATATTCACTGAAACGTGTAGTGATTTAAGAAAGTATTTGAACATGTCGTTTTGCAAGAAAATTCTTTTAAAGATTAAAAACAAAAAAAAGTATTCAAAAACTATAGAGTTATTAAATTATAAAAATTATAAAATTATACTAAATTATACTAAATTATAAAAAAAAAACTATAGAGTTATTTTAATTCCTTGCACTGTATGNTTTTTTTTTTTTTTTTTTGAAAAGTTTTAGGAAAGTTCTAGTTGTTGTCACAAAAAGATTATATATTTAAGATTATTTTTAAGGATATGAAAATTGATCGTTGAATGGAAAGAACTTTTTAAAAATTTTATTCAAAGAAATCGTATAATGGGATATTATACTCGAGTTTATTTAGATTTCATGAAATTTTCAAATAATGTTTCGAATTATTTAATATAAAACTTAAACGTTTATCGATATAAAAAAAAATAATCAACACACCTGTCAGAGTGAGATTCGAGAGAAGTTTTGAGCAATGAGAGAGAGAGGGATTAAATATTTTCGCGACACGTGAAAACGATAGCACGCCGGAAACAGGATTTCACGGTTGTTCGCGATTGGAATGGCGATGTCGGAAGTCCGGCTCGTCGGACGAAATTCAAAACACATTCGAAACGTCATAAATAAAAAGCTATCGAGGTTAGTATGGAAGCAAAAAAAAAAAAAAAAAAAAAAAAAAAAAAAAAAAAAAAGAAAAAAAGAAAAAAAAAGAGAGAAAAAATATTTCTGAATACTTTCGTTATATTATTCCATACAATGGTCATACAATCTTCTTAACAACAATTCGTTTCTCAATTCAATTGTGAGATAAAATTCAATGGAATTTTAATAAATTTTGAAAAAATATTTCTTTCTTTTCTTAAAATTTTATTTTTCTTGAGAAAAAGAAAACGTTTCTTGAAAATCAATACAAATAAATCTTTAATTATATACTTCGATCATATCTGTTTACCTATGCCAAAATTCCTAAACGTTTGGTTATTTAAAATTATTTCCCTGCGTTAATTCGCCAAAACAAAATCTCTCTGCATAGATAATTAAAAATTTTATACTTCAAAGAAATCGTATAATGGGATATATTATACTCGAGTTTATTTAGATTTCATGAAATTTTCAAATAGTTTAATTTTATATATATTTAATTTCCTCTCTCGAAGATATTTATTTGCTTATTGTTTCTCACCGTGTGTAATAAGTGGAACACTAACAACACTGTTTTTTTGAAATACGCGAGTCTACGTGTCTCTATGCGTTGCTTTATTACTGAAGGGACTTGGAAGCATTACTTATGATAGCCTCGTAATATATAATATGCTCCAGCTGTGCACCAAATAAACCACGTGGAAGATACCTCTCCCTTCTTTTTCTTTCTTCTTCTTCTCTTCTTATTCTTTTTTTCTTCTTCTTCTTCTTCTTTCATTTACGTCTCACGTGTGCGTTCCCCCTTAATTACGACCGTTACGACCAATTCCTTTTAAAATAAATACGTTAAACGCGCCAAGATTATTGTTAATCGCGGATCCTGTGCAACGAGAACGTCTTTTGTTTCTTTGGTTGAATTTAGTTGCTTCCGTAGATGTAATGTGCTGTAGGTAGAAAGGGCGGAACGAAATATGAAATTTTCGCATAATACGTATTTTGCATTGTTAACTTTATGTTTTCATATATTATTACATTTTAATGAAGTTGTGTAAAATTTTAATTCTAATATAATTGTCTTTAGGAATATATTTTTTAGCATAATAATTGTTTTTCTCGCATTGTTCGTTGCTTCATTATTTTTATCATGTTACAATTAAATTATTATTATATTTAATTTTATTAACACGTAATTTAAGAAACGTATTATCACGAATATTTAGTATAATAATTGTTTGGTATAACAATTGTTGTTTTTTTTTTTTTTTTTTTTTGCTTTGTTTATATTTTTTCACAATATCATATTTTATTTCTAACGTATAATTATACGGGACAAAATTGTAAATTTTCGTTATGAAATTTGTTTCGTTTAACGAAATGTTTAAATATTTAGAAATTTTTATTTTCGATGGAAATTTCGATATTTAGATGGAATTATACGCGTGTTTTTAACATGGCTAAATTTATCGTGCAATTTGGTTAATAATCGATTCTAATTCCACGTGGAAATATCACAAATAAAATATGGATATTTCAATTAAGTCATCTCATAAAGAAATGAATATATTTAAATGAACAAAATAGCTCTATCCTCGTCCATACCACCATCTTGCATCGTCCAATGCAAATTTCAATTAACCTTATAATGAATGAACCTCAATCTTTCGAAATTTTTATATTTCCCGTTTATTTTATATATAGAATCTATTGTCTAAATCTATTCCACGAGTGTTAACACTCCATGTAATAATTTGTATCAAATAACGCGTGTAATCAAATTCTTATTCTAATAATTTTTTTTAATTTATTTCAATTATTATCAATTTTTCTTTAATTCCAACTTCAAACCATTCCATCACAATATAAAATATTTGGAGATCTCCATTGTTTAAAAGCACAAAATTTGTTACAAAATAATCTCGTTTGAGATTTACTTATTTCATCAAATTATTTAATTTCACGTTAGATTAAGCGAGGCGACGACAGAGTTCGCTAGTCTCGCTCCATTTCCATCCTCAATTGCTCATAACTCGATAAATAAACTCGATCGAAATTTTTCCTCTTTATCTTCTTCTCTCTGGAATCCATTCTCTAAAACGTGTTTCAATATTTAATAATCAATTTACTTCTCCATAATCCCAATCCCATCAAACCATTTCACAATCTAGAATATATTAATATACCCATCTTTGGAGAATCCATTTCTAAAGATTATCGATCGAGACAAAAATTATTCATCGAAAATTATTTTCATTAACGTTCTCTATATAATTCGAATAACACATAATCAAACTAAACTTTTCTACTCAACTTATTTCTATAACTACATAATCGTATCCCAATACTCTCCTCCTTTCCCTCTTCGTTTCCTCTCGTAAATATACTTAACCTATCTATACAAATCAAAAAACACAAAATCCAAAATTTTCAAAATTAAAATAATCCATCGACCACACACATATATATATATATACATACGACGAAAATTATTCGCATTCGAAGGAACTTGGCATTCGTACGGAGGGGGAGGGGATGGTTTTTCGCGACGAGCGGGAAACGAGATTTCGCGGTCGCTCGGCGTCGAGATGGCAATGCCAGAAGCGTCGAGCGGTCCGTCAAAATTCCGAATATTCACGTCGCCTAGGTGTAGGGCCCTCCTGGCGCATACCGGTGTGCGGCTCGAGTGCGGCTCGCGCAAAAAATATGTGTAATTAAAACTCGACGCTCCGGGGGATGCTCCGCGTAGAGGCGCGCGGGTGAAGGGGAGGAGAAGGAGAGGCGTAAAGGGGTGGAAAGCGATAGAGAGACGTCCAGACGACACAGGCGTAAAGGTTAGGAGGACGGAATAATCAGGGGCTCGAGAAGAAGAGGCGAATGTGACGATTTCGAGACCTCTCTCCCTCTTTCTCTTTCTTTCGGGGGTGAGTAGTTGGTGCAACAACAACCGTTCCAGGGATCGTCGATTGGCTTTTGGAAAATGTTGAAATGTGTTACTTTTATCATAATATTTTTTTTTTCTTTTTTTTTTTTTGAAATGAAACGATATTTCAAATTATTTAACACACGTGCATTGAAATATCGAAACGTAAGAGTTTGTTATCGGTTATTTTATATAATAAATAATATAAAGTTTGAAAAAATTCTTTGGAAATATTGAAATGTTATTGTAAAAGTTTGTATAAATCTATTTCGAAGTTCTCATTATTCTCACAAATTTTCAAGTACAATTCCACCGAATATTTCCTACCTCATTCTCTGAAAAGTGTTATTCCATTAAAAAAGAAATTGCTCTATGCACGCTCCATTTATTTACCATTCAAAAAGTTCCGAATAAAATCAAAATCTTTCCCAATGTTTGATTATATAGGTCTCCATAAGATGTACAAAGATAAAATTAAAATTTAAAATTTCACATACACATTTATTAATTTTATTCCCAAAATCATCAAGATCATCAAGCAATTATTCATAATTCAAAAAAAAAAAAAATCCTAGTATGTCATAATCGATCCATAATCGAAATCCACATCTAGATTTACCCAGCAAGATGTGCGACAAGCGTCTGTGCGCGTGCGAGAGGAAGGTCCAACCAGGCTTCATGAGCCCCTTCGACGATCGGGTGAAAGCCCTCGACGAGGCGTACGAAAATTTCAGCAAGATGGAGAGCCAGTCGTTGCTGAAAAAACACTTGACCAGACAGATATTCAACATGCTCAAATCGCGTTTGACGAACACCGAATCCTCCTTGATGGACGTGATACAATCAGGCCTGAAGAACCTGGATTCCAACATTGGTATATACGCCCCTGACCAGCACGCTTACACCGTATTCGCGCCACTGTTCAATCCTGTGATCGAGGAGTATCACAAAGGCTTCACGCCGGAGGACGTGCACCCCCTGTTGGACTGGGGCGACCCTGACAAGTTGGGCAACCTCGATCCCGGGGAAGAGTTCATCATCTCGACGAGGATCCGTTGCGCGAGGTCGGTCAACGGTTATCCGTTGAATCCAACAATGACCAAGTCTCACTATCAAGAGTTGGAGACGAAGGTATATATAAGTCAGATCTCTCTGATTTCTTTCCTATTTGAGCTAATAAGGGAGACAGGTGTTAGTGATGATGAAGATGTTAATTTGTGCCAATTTTAAGTAGACAGGATTTGTATTTTTTGTATAAATTATGTATTTATATTAATTTAAGTTTTTGAAAGACTTGGTAGATAGTGATAATGTGTTATTGGAATTTGGAAGCAAAGAAAATGTGGAAATAATGGTGAGTGGACAAGAATTAATCATTTGTGCCAATTTTAGGTAGATAGGATTTGTATTTTTTATATAAATTGTGTATTTATGTAAGTTTAAGTTTTTGGAAGACTTGATAGATAGTGGTAATGTGTTATTAGAATTTGGAAGCAAAGAAAATGTGGAAATAATGGTGAATGCAGGAGAATTAATGATTTGTACTAATTTTAGGTAGACAGGATTTGTATTTTTTGTATAAATTATGTATTTATATTAATTTGAAAGACTTGGTAGATAGTGATAATGTGTTATTGGAATTTGGAAGCAAAGAAAATGTGGAAATAATGGTGAGTAGAAAAGAATTAATCATTTGTGCCAATTTTAGATAGATAGGATTTGTATTTTTTGTATAAATTGTGTATTTATATAAGTTTAAGTTTTTGAAAGACTTGGTAGATAGTGGTAATGTGTTATTGGAATTTGGAAGCAAAATATGGAAATAATGATGAATGGAGAAGAATTAATCATTTGTGCCAATTTTAGGTAGATAGGATTTGTATTTTTTGTATAAATATAAGTTTAAGTTTTTGGAAGACTTGATAGATAGTGGTAATGTGTTATTGGAATTTGAAAGCAAAGAAAATGTGGAAATAATGATGAATGGAGGAGAATTAATGATTTGTGCTAATTTTAATAAAAAATATGCACAGCTTTATATATCTTATGGAAATAATAGTGAGTGGAAAATTAATGTATAATTTTGAAAGATTTTATATTTTTGTGATGAAAAAAAAGCAGACTACAATTTATACAAATTTTAAGAATTTTCATATTTTTATAGTATGGTAGAGATATACTATTATAATTTGAAGGCAAAAGTATGAGAAAGAATAATCTTCTCTCTATTTGAATTAATAAAAGACAACATATTCAGATGGATTTTTGGGAATAATAGAACGATTTTTTTACTAAAATTTAAAATGTGTAAATAGAAAATTATTTGTATAAATTTTAAAAGATTTTGTATTTTTTTGATAGTGGAAATATATTAGAATTTAGAGACAAAGAGTAGAGCATGAACATCTAGACACGTACTCACTTACAATGGACTTCATAATGTTATTTAAAATTATTTTTCATCGAAATCTTTAAGCCTTTCGACAAATTCCACAAATTTAAAAATATTCTCAAAAAAAAAATCACACACAAAAAAACACAGCAACGAAAATACAATAAAGAAGGCAGGAAGAAACAAGGTCGATGTCTTTACACGAAGGTGTAAAGGTGTGTTTCGCGTCAGTGATGTTAAATGAAGGCGCACAACGTGCACGTAGCTAATTGATTCCTGCTAGCTCGAAAATCCTCCTCCGTTAAGGCATATAATTGCTTTTTCTAATCGCGTTTTATCCGCTTTGTTTGTTCACTGAACAGAAGTGAACTATATAAATTTCCCAAGCAAAACCAAAGGCTCTGCGAATGTCCTTTCTAATCTGTGTACTGCTTTTAATCTCTTTCTTTTATCTCCTCTTCTTCTCTCCCTTTTTATATCTTTTTTCCACTTGTGTTTCTCCTCCTTTTTTTTCTTTTTTTATTTTTTTTTCTTTTTTCTTTTTTTTTTCCAGCTGCAACAAATCTTGAACACGTTAGAGGACGAACTGAAGGGGAATTATTACAGTTTGATCAAGATGGACAAGATAACCCAACAACAACTGATAGACGATCATTTCCTGTTCAAAGAGGGCGATCGATTTTTAGAGGCGGCCAATGCCATTAGGTTCTGGCCAGTCGGTGAGTAATGATCACGTTCACCTCTAGCTACCTGCCCCTAACTTTTTTTTTTCCAACTGGGTACAGATCGACCTCTAAAACTGTTCGAAATTTATCGTCCCATCCATTGTCCAACTCTTGTACTTTAGAACAGCGATTTTTAATCCTTTTTATCTCACGATAAAGTAATTAACAGATTGCGAATTTTTATGCAAAAAATTGAATTTTTTATAAGCGCAATTGGTGAAAACTTAAGTAGAAATTGATAATTCATATTTTTTTTATAAATATAATCTATTTTTTAATTTCTTTAAAAAAAGCTTTAATTAATCATTTTAAATAAAAATTATTAACAATGTTTTGAACATTAATTATCGTAAATTCAATATTTCACAACTTTGGAACAAATCTACGTAACATTAATAAAACATTTTAATAATTTTTTAATAAAGAAGAAGGAAGATAATCTCTGTCTAACCTATGTCAAGATCACAGCTGATTTCCTTAAATCGTATTAATTACCATATTTCTTTTTTTTTTAATAACTATCTTTTAAAATAACTATTTTTTTAAACTTTTTTCATCTATTCATGATACTTTATAATATAAAAATAATACATAAAATTATTTAGAATAATAATTATTTATCATATAATTATTCTTTACTTCTTTATTAATAAATGTTGGATATCGATCTTAAAAATTAAAAATCGTTGTTTTAAGATCTTACGTCACTCACATCGAATATTTATAGTAATGACTAATGTGCAATGTTGAGAAACGATTCGACGATGGCCTCAGACTTCTCGAGACGCAGATTAATGAGTCTCGATGGAGTTGCAAGTTTTAATTTTATTCTGCCACACCAGCTGGCGCCCTCCGTGTGTCAGTAATTAGATCGTAAGTTGAGGTGAATTTCATTCTTCCTGGGGATATTCTCTTGGAATTGTTAAGATTTTTTTTAGTTTTTTAATTTTCGTTGAGCTCAGTGTTATTCTAGTGAAAAAAAGGTACGTATCTTATAAATTTACAATACAATATTACTTTCTATTAATTTTTCCATGGTATGACCTACTTTTCTGATTATTTTTAAATATTATTATAAAATAAAATAAAAATAAAGATTTTTTTTTACAATTTATTTTTATTTTTTTATTTTAACGATTCGTTGGTGATGTAAAAATTTTAAAAAATATGTGAAACTGAAATCAACTTGATTTGATTTAAAAGTTCTAGTTAAATTTTAATGAAAAATAATTTTTTATAAAGATGAAAAACGATAAATACTATCGATACTATTATTATACTATCAATTTTATTCTTCTGTATTATATTTCGAAACTTGTTCGAAACACATATTACGTCATTTCGAATTTATTTGTTGATTTATCGATTGACACGAGACGAGAGATCGCTATATACCTTACGAATACGATTTGCGAAACTATGTGTAGATACTTCAAGAAACAAGCCATGAGAGCACAGTATCTCGAGGAAGAAATTTTGAGGTTAACATGTTGGTTCAACTAAGAATTTATGAGAATGGAATTTCTTTGATTATATTGTTTGATTAGCACATCGAAAATCTTTAATCTTTCCTTTAATTAAATAATAAAAGAAAAAAGAAATGCATTGCTCGAATAATTTCCCTTCGTTTAATCCCATATACTTCTCTATACCGAATTAATATCGCGAGTTAATATTGATAATTTAATATCTTTGTTCTTGATTATTAAATATTATATTCTGGAACGTGAATTTATTGTGATAATCTTATTTACGTTTTCGTACAGATTAAATATATTAAATATAAATATATTGTTGCAAATAAGAATTATTCGAATTACTAATAACATTTCTTTTCATTTTTAAAAATCAACCACAATAAAAAATCAACATTTTTTTCCTTCGCAAAATTAATTTTAAAATATTTAATGAGTTAAATACATTTTGTATAAACATTAAATATTTTATTTTTGCTAAATTTTTAAAATGAAGTGTGTAATATATCTTTAAATTTTTTTTTTTTTTTACTGATTTCGGGTCTCGAGAGATAATAGCCTGTTGTAATAGCCTGAGTGATTTTCGCGCGGGAAATTCAAACGTCGGTTCGCTCGGTTTAAGGATCACTGTGGTTGGCGCAAAACATTCAATTACAATGGCGTAAGTTCCTTCAGCTCGTTTGAAAACATTAATCCGTGGATAAAGCCAAATGCTCGAAATTGGGCTTGGTTCAAGTTTAAACGAAGATTAAGCCGAAAGTTTCGTGGATTAGGCGGGGTGTACCGAAGTGTGGTGTACCGAGTTAACAAAATGGCGAGTTGACGGGTGTCACGACAGGTCCACCTGTTTGTTGATTTTCATCATTGGTTCTCTTGCCCGTAAAATGAAAACAATTCGATGCATTTCATTGGATTTTCAATCAATCATCCTGAGAACCGTAAAAATGAACTGTTTCCAGAGATAAATAGTGAAAGAATAAGAGATCTGATTTGAAAATAAAATAAAATAAAAAATGTATTATCATAATGAAATTGTGTTATCTGTGAGCATGATATCGAAGCATGTTGTTATGTTAAATAAAATGTCGTTATTTGTTATTCATAGATAGAAATAATAGAAGAAATAACGAAAGATTTGAAAATAAACAAGAATTGGAATTATATAAGCAAAATTATTATATTATAAAGAAAATTGAGGGAAAAATTAAATCTAATTAAAATGAAAAATAATGGAATTATTATCCACGATTCTGTGTTTCATGTTAAAAAATATATTGTCATTTATATTCTCAGAAAGAATGAAAAAATTAAATGTAATTAAAATAAAATGAAAAATATGAAGAACGTTACATGTGATCTTGATATTTGCAAAGACGTCATAAGAAACATTTATTTGCAATAATTTTTTAAAATTATTAATATGACGAGGGATTTTAGAAATTGATTTTAAAGTTCTGTTTAAACGAAATTTCTATTCAATGAATTTTGAATTCTACAGAGGAATATAGAATTTTGCATCATTATTTTTACTTCCGTTTGCGATCAATTTAAAAAATATCCAGTTTTAATAAAGTTGTGCATCGAGGGAAAATTGTTGCGAAAATGAAAATTTCTCAATAATCTTTGTATTTGAGGTATATTCACGGTGCAAATTACGTACTCGCAAATTGGGATCTCCACGCAAATTTTGCATCGTTTACTTTTAAGCGAATTTCGGTTTTGATAATCAAAAAAATCTTCGAGTTTTTGGCATACGATAAATTCAACATCGAAGCATTATTGTTAAATCATGTTTTCCTTTTTTTTCCATTTTTTCCTTCCTTTTTTTTTACTTTTCTCCTTTGAATCAATTATAATAATTATCCAGAGGATAATTAATTATAATAATCGAAATAACGCGTGATAAATTTCGATATATATACATATAAACTTAATTTCTTAGAAAAATTATAACTTTCTATATCCTTTATCTCTTCATTTTAAACTCAGACATCACGATTCATAGTTTAATTAAAAATTCCAATACCCTCGAAATTCTCTAACAACCTTCTCACTGCCATTATCAGCTGTAATTCGAAGTTTCACAAGTTCCATGAAAATTCAAAATCGGCATAAGCTGTGCAATGGAACGTTATTATATAAATTTCTTTTTTGCTCTTCGAGACCCCTCCAATAATGAATAAAACTTGCCTTCTATAGCACTTTTACAGCAGGTAAAAAAAAAAAAAAAAAAAAATATATTCAATTTTCAAAAACTAATTTCACAGAGAACTATCTTCTATTTAATTAATAATCCAAATAATTAAAGATAAATATATTTCTCCGAATATATTAAAAGAATAATTACAATTTCACAAATATTTTTTTTTTTTTTTTTACAATCCAATAAAAGATCGAGGACAAAATTCTTATTGGAGAATGATCAGACGCAAGAATCAATTCCACAGAAAATTTATTTCTAGAGAAAAGAGAACGTGTATTTAAAAGCAGATTTTTAATTCTCTCCTTCCATCGCTGCTCGGTCGATAAAAAGTAATTCTTCTAGGATTCAAAGATATTCGCTCTCGAATCGAAAGCGATCCGGTCACCCCTTGCGGGTTGCCAGAAAGCCGACTAAGGGTCCCGTGATTAAGTGAATTTGCATTAGCGATTTTCATCGCGATGGCCTTGGCAAATCTCTTTACCGTCGAGATTAAACGGCTCAAAAGGGTTAAGGGACATTAAAGGGAGTGGGGCGCGTGTGCAGGGGGCGGAGGGGTGAATCAGCTATTCGAAAACGGGGGGTTTTCTCGTCCTCCCCTTATCGCGTGATGTATATACTTCGCCGACTTTATTTACGGTCCTTCGTAATCACGAGGTTTATTATAAACTTGTTGACGCGATGATGCATTATTAAACGAGGTTTTTGGTAATAAAGTGTTCCAAGATGAAGTTGGTGGGTGAAAAAAAAATTCTGAGATCGATTTTTTTCTATTTTTTGAAAATATTCGATCGAGTAACTTTTTGGGAAAATAAATCCGTAAGAATTCGTTTTTTAGTTAATGGAATGAGAATATAAATGAAGAAATAGATCAATGGACGAACGATGAGTTTGATTTTCTACTTTGTTAGATATTTTCCCAATGCTAATGAAATATTGGTTAATTTTTTACTTGTTCGATTCCCCTTTCGAATCGTCGTTAATTTGAATCTAACTTCGATAAATTTGAAAAATGGAGTAATTGAAGAAGAATTTTTTGAATCGTGATTACAAATTTTTATCGAAGAGATAAAAATAAAATAATGGAAGAAGCGTGGTTTTTAGAAATTTTATCGAGATTCTTCCCTTCTTCTTCTCCCCCCCCCCCCTCCATTGGCATCGTAACTACTCGCTTTTGTTTCTTTGAACCGGACTGATAACAGATCGGCTTTACGAGTGACCACGGTTGCTCGTTATTTACGAACGTTGCAGTTTCGATCAAATTATTTCTCCCCTCCTTCCCTCCGCCTCCTTTCAAACAATGTTTCAGTCGAAGAGTCGTATTACAATTGTACACGCATGTTTTGTTTCATATTATTAAAGATTCTTTTGATCGAAAGTTGTACGTATTGTGAAAAGCGAATAAATCGTTGCTTTCTGTTTTTAAATAAATCTCGCCTTATGAAAATATATTTCATTATATTTCATTGTATAAATTTGCTACTGGGATCCAAGAACTTAATAATTTAATATGTGTATTGTATTTTTAGGTTAGAATATGTGTATTGTATTTTTAGGTTAGAATATGTGTATTGTATTTTTAGGTTAGTTTCGATAGACAAACGATAATTTAATTGTATTGATTATTCTAAGAATTCTTGTTTGATTCTCTTTGATAAAAGTGGAATTGACTTCCGAATGAGATTGTTGTTTATATTTTTGTTGAAAGAAGTGCTTGAAAATTTTTTTTTTTCCAAGAGTATATAATAGGTACAGAAAGATGATTTAGATTAGAATTAGACAAGATCTCAAATAACGTAACAGTATTCTTTGTAGTTAGAAATGTATAGAAATCATGTATGAAGATGAAATTTATTTTTCTCCATGGATATATGTGTTATTTTAATATTGATATTCTTGAATTGATTCTTAATATGAAGCCAGACATTTGTATAAATGAAGATTATCGTAGAATTGAGAACGAAGAAAAAGAATAAGAGAGAAGAGGAATCACTTATCTATTATTTTCGAATTGTAATATTGATGATATCTTATTTATTAAAATTATTAAAATCTTAATCTTACAACGAGTTGAGTTCCCGAGAAAAAAAATCAACATTTTCAACATGCACGAGAGAGAAGGTTATATTTATAAAATTCGATACGCTTCATCCCCCATGACACGAGCATAAACTTATTATTTATACGAAAAATGTCACAAGTTAAATTTGGATTGTAACATCCTTGAAATTGTTACAAATTCATCGATATCACTGTATTTACATCAGAAAGGGAGTTAATAATAGTGTAAATAAAGATTAAAAATTTTTCTAATCTAACCTCTCAAACATCTTTTAATTTTTTGAAAATATTTGTATAAAAAAAATTTGACATTTAAAAAAAATATTGAAAATGAAATTAAGTTTAAAATTTACTTCAAATATATTAATGTATAAATATTAAAAAAAGAAAATAAATTTCAAGGTAATAATAAAACAGTAAACGAAAACGTAAGACTCGAGATAAAATAAAATTCCCTATTTCTAACCTAATCTAACCTCTCGAACATCTTAAATTTAACATCTACGATTTAATTTTTTAAAAATTAGAAAATATTTGTATAAAAGAATATTGACATTTAAAAAAAATATGGAAAAATGAGGTTTAAAATTTATCCCCAAACATGACATTAATGTAAGAATAAAACGAATAAATTTCAAGGCAGCGAAAATATAAAGAAAAAAAGATCCAAGATTTGTATCGAATTTCCATCCCCACGATTGAAACAGTGAGTGAAAACGTTAGATCCGGGATAAAAGAAAATTTCCCATTCCTCTCTGTTCCTTTGCAAACCCGAAGGGTCACGTGTGCGTGGAAAAATGGAACATTAATAATTCAATTCCACGAGTTGCCCGAGGCAAATGGAAACACAGCCGTAAACCGAACCACTTTCGATTATCTTTGAATCGACACTGGATTTACTCAGTTTTCACGGAAGAAAACGCGCTCTCGGAAGGAAATCGAGAAACGACGCAATATAACCTTCGACACATCTTGGATAAATAAACGAGGAAATGGATTTATAAACGTATTTAAAATTTTACACAATTTGATAAAATATATAACTTAATTTTCGTCTATTTTCACAGGAAATAAACATTTTGAAAATAAACTAGAGTGGTACAATTTTATTTTCAAAATACTAGAAAATTTTAGGTTATGTTTATTCGATATTACGAATGTTTTGATTTTTCAAGAGAAATTCTTCGTTCCATTTAATATTTATAATAACAATATTATATCAATAGATAAGAGACCCGAATTCAAAAAAAAAAAAAAAGGAAAACTGCCTCGCAGCGTTTTATCTCCCTAATTTCCAGGCAGAGGTATATTTTACAACGATTCGAAAACTTTCCTCGTCTGGTGCAACGAGGAGGATCACCTGCGTCTAATATCGATGCAGAAAGGCGGAGATCTGGCAGCCGTGTACTCGAGGCTCGTTAAAGGGGCCACCGAACTCGGCAAAAAAATACCATTCTCGCGGCATCGCCGGCTGGGCTACCTAACCTTCTGCCCGACCAACCTTGGAACAACGATCAGAGCCTCTGTTCACGCCCGGTTCCCCAAATTGAACGATAATCCCGAGAGATTCCACGAAATAGCAAATATGTACAATCTTCAGGTGAGATTTCTCATTTCTTCATTTTCCATTTCTTTTCCATTCTTTCTATTTTTTTTTTTTTTTTTGAATTCGAATCTATTTTCGAAATGGCGAAATTTCACTCGAAAATTTCAAATCAGTTTATTTTTTCTTTTGATGATCGATTTGAGACTTTTTAAGATATTTTTGACTTTTATTCATCATGGTTTTCTAATCAAGTTAATCTATATTTGTCTTGCTACTTTCATTATGATTTTTCATTGATCTATTTTACTTTTCTGAGTAATGATTTTTTTATATCCATCTATGATTTACTTGCACTTCTTGTCGAACCAATGGCTGATGTATACTACTGTCAAGATCATAATCGTCTCATCCAATAAAGATTATCTTAATTTTCCTATTATATTATATATAATTATTCCTATTATATATAATTATATGTCTTACAAATCATCTTCGTTATAATATTCTTTTTTAATCGATTCTACGATAATTATTTTTCGATAAAATAATTTTCGCGTAATTTAATAAATTTCTTAATGGTTCGAAAATATTTCAACGGTTATTTGAAAAATCATAAATTCGCGCCGCAAAATCGGAAAATAAGTAAACGAGGAAATAATATCGAGATACCGCGTAATTATCATTGTCGAACATTGTTATTCATCGTTGAAATGCTAATGAAACGCAACAAGTATCACAGGTGGATTAATGTTAATACGTTCATACGAAATATTTATATCCTTCGTATTATTGACCGAGCGCAGCAACGATGCTTATATAAATCCCAAGTGTATACAACGTAAACTATAGTTGCGAAACGAGATACGCAAACAACCAGTTATGAATATTCCGTTTACGAGGAAAATATTTGAATAGATCTTGCTTGTTTGTAGGCAAAGGAACCTATGAAATATAAAAACATTGTTTTTTTCTTTAAGTTATGCGTGAACCGGTTTTATTGGAATTCCCTAGAATTCCCTAGGTGATTGTAACATGATTAAACGCGACAAAATATCTCTAGCTTTTCTTGTTAAATGCATCGCGTTTAGAAGAAAAATGGCAAGAAGGAAAAAAATTTATTTTTTTCAAAGAAAAATTACAAGTTTCGTGGAAATTATGAGATCGATGACGAATTAATATCTTGTTAATCATTTTTCTCATCAAACATATTTCTTAGTAGTATGCTTGAATCAGTTTTGTCCTCTTCAAAATTTTTTCTCCGTTTTATTTTTATTTTTCTTTTTTTAAATTGTTCATATTCGTTTAAATTGAGAGGAAAAAAGAGATATTCGAGATTCTCGCATAACGTTTCCTGTTCGAAAGTTGGTTTGAAAATTGTTGTTCTACCATCGATTGCTGAATTTTCACTTTCAGCTTGAAGAGTGGGGTCGACCGCAGCCAGGGAATGTATAATTAATTATTTGTTCGTTAACTGCTCGGTAAAATCTGAAATTTTCAACGTTCCTGTGATACTAATTACGATGAATTTAATTTGCTTGAATTTTCAATTTTGTTATTCTGTTACGACGAGGAAGATGTTGTGTCAAACGTTGCATTAAACGTTACAATTGATTCACACTCGTAACGGGAACAATTTTATTATAAAAATTGATTGAAAAAAAAAAAAATAAAAAGAAAATTTCAACAAGAGATTGCAAACGAATTATTATATGCATTAATTTTCAACTACGTTTTTCACTTATTTTGGAAAAATTCATGAAAATTATGAAATTATAGAAAATTAAATTTACAATGAAAATAGAATATTAATAATTATGATTAATTCAAGTGTAATATTATTTTCTATTTTTATATTATTTTTGTTATTCTATGCTTTATATAATGTATTCTTTTTTTTTAAATTTTTAAAATTTGAAATTTAATATGCAATTGTTATTAATTAGTCATGAAAATATTCACATATAATTGAATATGAATAAATTTTTTTACAGAGTGTGTATGTTTGTATATACAATTTGGAATAATACTAAATTTGGAATATTTAAATTGAAACGATAATTCGTTCACACGTTAAATTTCTCATTATTATAATTATCATATCATTTTCAGAAAATTATTTGTATAAAATATATGAAATACACGAGAGAATGAAAGATGAGTTTATCGTGATCACAAGTTTATCCATTAATAAATTATTTGAATAACACATGTATTTAAGATTTATTATTATTAAGAATACAAGAACGTTGAAAAATTTTTTCTAAAAAAAGAATTTGTATCGATTCAAACCTATTCGAATCGAATAGATAATTTAAAATAAAAAAATATGGATTAGGATAATTTATAATGTATATTAATATCCTAGTAAATAATAAAATTAGAATCACGTAATCAAAACCTAGGGATTTATTTGAAAATTTGAAAATCTGATATATAATATAATAGAGAATACCAAATACATACGATTAAAATCTAGAACAATTGGAATTGAATTGATGATACTTAAGTTAGAAATTTGAGAATGCGATAGAGGTCAGAATGAATAGAAACACACAATCAAAATCGAGAGTATGAGGATTAAATTAGATGTCCTGTAGTTTGTGAATCTAGGACAATGCAATAAAGGATATTAAATGGAATTGCATGATTAAAATCTGGGAGAATTAGAGTCAAATTTGGGTATCTAAGAATGCAATAGGGAATACTAAATAGAATCATGTAATCAAAATCTAGAGGAATCAGAGTTAAATTAATGGATTTCTAGATCGTGAATCTGGGATCTATCGCAATAAGGGATACCAAATCGAATTACACGATTAAAATCTAGGGGAATCAGGTAAGTCGAATTAGGGATCCCTAGATCAACAATCCTAGAACGCTAATAAGAAAATAATAAATAAAATCGTATGATAGAAATCTATGATTAAATTATGATTAAATTATAGGATTCCTAAAAATCTGCGACACAATACGATAGAGGATTCTAAATATAACTACGTGATCAAAATCTAAAAAAATCAGGACCGAATTAGAGATCCCTACATCGACAATCCAAGAACGGTAATAGAAAATATTAAATGATATCGTGTGATAGAAATCTATGGAAATCATGATTGAATTATCTCTAAACTAGAAATCTACGACGTAATGCAATAGAGAACCTTAAATATAAATATGTGATCAAAATCTAGGGAAATCTGAGTCGATCTTGGGGATCCCTAGAAACTTTTTACAATAAGGGAGATACTAAATAGGGAGAATACTAAATAGAGTTTTAAAAATTCATTAAATTAAAGATGTGCACTATATATAGGATTAAACCCATCAACGATTAAATATTTAGATAAGAGGCACAAGGGGTGAACACACCGAGGGCGAGGAAGGCATATTCGACATCAGCAACAAACGTCGGCTGGGTTTGACCGAGAACGAGGTAGTTTCCGAGATGAGAATCGGGATTCTGGAGCTGATCAAAGAAGAGAAACGATTGCAAGAATCTGAATAACGCATGTCTAACCGAAGAGTGTGTAACCGAATCGGGTGAAAACTGTTTCCAATTCACCCTCTCTTATAAATCGAAATATATCTAAACCGCGTATCGATTAATACTCCACGAGTCGACAATACGTTTCCGTTACGGGCACACATCGAGGAACACGAACCGTTTCGTAGGTAGTTATCGACAAGCTGGAGCAATACTCGAAATATCCTGCAAGTCTCTCTCTCTCTCTTTTTTTCTTTTGTTATAAAAGCGAAGAAATATCGATCTTTATTAACTTTTGATAACATTGTTGTACAATGGTTTGAAATAAAGGTTATCTTTATGAAGAAACTTGTACATTCTGTGTTTGTATCTAAAGTTAATTTAATCTTGGAATTTGGTGATCATGAATAATTTTTTCTTGAATGAGAACCACTGATAATCTATCTAATGTAAATAAAAAGTTTTTGAAGTACTTATTAATTTTTTTGATCATTATGTTTTGAGTAAACTTAGAAATGATCAATGAATAATCAAATACAAATCAAAACATATAATCCTTGCTACAATACAAAAACAAATATAAATAGAAATATAAATAGAAAAATGACTAAATAGAAAAATGATTAAATTTATCTTTCAAATTTATTTTCAAAAAGAAATTTAATTTCTTAGAAAAAATCAGAATTCATTTATCTTATCGATTTTTTCTCTTTTTTTATAAATAATTTCATATTTGCTCGAACAAGGATACTGTTGTAATAAAATTGTCTTCATAAGATTCGTGCGAATTTCATAGCGAATTTCAATGTATTGCAATAAGCTACGTGGAAGCCATTTCAAACACGTGGAATCAAAAGAAGCACAGTGTTTTCCAGCAGCTGGTAGAAAATACGTACTATCAGTTGCGAGAGGGTAACCCACTTGGGAGCTTATATCGACAACATTGGCTTTATGACACTCAATATTCACTTCTTCGACTTACCATGTACTATATTACGTCGTCGTGGACACAGAAGATGCAACACGGACTAGACTAGTCGCCATATTCCATATTGATAATGTCCAAGTTGCACAACCTGCGATATTCGATGCATCGAAGGGCAACACGTATCAACATACAGATCTTAAATCTGCATTAGAAAAGAATAACTCGAACGAATATCTTTGTATGTAATGTTACCAAAAATCCATACATTGTAACAATTTTTTGAGTTTTAATAAAAGACGAATTGAAAAATTGTGTAAAATTTTAAAAGGAGAAATATGATGGATAATTTGTTGCAGAGAATGGAAAGATTCATAAAAATTGATAAATATAACATTAGATTGTAATATTTTTTATAAAGATTTAAGGAATCAAAGAAAGTGGAGAGATCATTAGAAGTCTCAGAATTTCTATAATTATACAGAATATCTATATCTAATAATTATATAAAATTTCTATATCATGTAGAAAATAAAAGTTTTTAAGAAATAATTTAAATAATAATATATTTTTTATTACAAAAAGCATTTGAATTTTAATACATTTGAAAGATGAAAGTACAGATCACAAAAGATCGTTCTTCTCATTTGCAATCATCATGATAACATTCATTCTACACTAAAACAAGAGAAAAAAGAAACAGAGAAATTTAGATTGAAAGAATATTAAAAAGATTTTGAAAACTTAGGAATAAGAATATTGCAATGATCCAAGATAAATTGGAAATTCTGAAGATGTCAGAGGTGACTATGAGACAAACTATAAAAAGTTTAGAAGTGAATATGCAAAATATCTGGAATCCCAATAGATTTTATGAGTACTGATATGCATGGTTGTAGAAAATTTCAAAGATACCTGATATTCAGAAGGCACACTGATATTTGATATCCATTATTCTTTAGAATTTCCAAATTATCTTGAGGATTATTCCAATTTTAAGGATATCAGAACTATTCTAAAACTTTGTATGTAGTCAACAAATTCCTTGATGTATTCAGAGATAAAGTTTGATTACTAATAAATATATTGCTAATAATATTTTAGAATTGAGAATATTCTTTGTTATTATTGTCAGGAATATTATTATATTAAATTAATCTAAGTTTTTTAAATTTAAAAAAATATTTAATGTTCTTAGAAGTATTTATTAGAAGTAATTATTTATTATCCTTTCATTTCATTATTATTTAAAAAATATCATAAATCTAAATTTTATGGAAGTTTTATGTGTATTCAAAGTATTGATAATTCTCAAATATTTTTTTTTATTTCAAATATATATTGATATCCTTCAGAGTTCAAGTTTTATTGATAGTGGGATTATCCAACATTTTTTAAAGTTTTTTTAAAGAATATTTATGGTCTTTAAAACTTTAGAAGAATATCAAGGATGACTAGTATCTTGATAATCTCAAGAGTTGATATCAGAATTCTTGTTATTTTATAGAATAGTATATTCAACATTTTAGATTCATCATATTAATATTATATAATTAATATAATTAAAAATTATTATTAATGTTTAAAGCAATTTTAAAATAGATTTTTACTAAAATAAACTGTCTTTTCTTTCCATTCATTCCTTTTCTTTTGTCCACTGTTACTAGAAACCCATAACGTATGTATATCTTGAATGGGAAGTAGTATAAACCAGTACTATGTCTGACGAGTGAATGGTATAGTATTCCAGTGAAAGCAGTATCGTAACTGTTGGTTTCTAACGTCTGTTAACCTTGCTGCTGTCATTAACAGATTCTACGAAATCGTGAGTACATGCCTTGGACTCCAGAACTGTGTTCTTATCAGAAATGTTTCGTACCAGAATAGTTTCTATTCTCGTTTTGTATTCCAACGAAACGAAAACGATCTGAGAGAAAGATCAAAATTATATAGAATGAGTTGTAATTTTAAGAGAAAAAATAATAAAAGTAATAAAAAGAATCATAATGTAAAGAAAAGATACACAGACAAAATAGAAAAAAATAATAATGATAAGAAAAAAGACAAAAAATACAGAGAAAATATAATGGAGATGGAAATGTATATATATTGAATGATAAATATGAAAAATGAAGCAAAGAAGAAATATTGATAAAAGAAAGAATGACAAAATGAATAATAAACAAGGAAAAATAGAAAAATAATAAAAGATCAAATAGAGAATGAGATAGAAATATGAAAGTTCTTAAATTAAATTAGAAAAAAAAAAAAAATGGAAAAAAATGATATAACCAAGATAATATCTTTGAGAGAGAGTGGTAAAGATGGAGAATAAAGTTAAAGTAGAAAAAGAAAGAGAGTGGTCAACAGATAAAAGAGGTAAGGGATGATGAAGATAAGAGAGAGGCATTTATGATGACAAAGATGAGCAAGAAGGATAGTAATAAAGATAGAGGACACAGTAGAAGGAAGAGAGAGGATGATTGATCATCTTATCTTTAAATCCATCTATGTCTGATTTTATTGATTTAACGATTATATAAAATAATTAATATAAAATAGTAATTGTTATTTTGTTAAATATTAAATCAATGTTTGAAATATTATATCATAAATGCTATGGAATAATTAAGAAAATATTAGATAGATATTAGATATTAGGTTATGTTAGTTAATATCGATTTTGAAGATAAATCTTATTTCTCTTTCCATTTTGGAAAATATATTCTTGAAGGTTTAACACTCTGACAAGTTTAATGTTATTTAGTGTCAAGAACTTGCTATTTCTGACACCATAAAAATATGCTATATGTGAATGTGTCTAGATATAACAATAACGTGCAGCTCCACGTTTGTGTCCTGAACCTGACAACGGAATGGTTATGAGAGTTTCCAAGATGTCATTTTTCCTGTATATAAACTATTACGTGTTACATTCTACAGCGTTTCATATTGCAAATGCTAAACTTTTCTTACCACTCGAAAATATGTGTGATACGTGTTTAGATAAACTCTTCTTCGTGTCTTAAATTTCTTGAATTCTTTAAGAAAAAAATTTTTTAAAATTCTTTAAATTCTTTCAAATTATTTAAATATTGATTTTTTATTATTTTTCGTAATTCATATAAACAAAATTGATAAAAGATACGATTTCTTATAAACTTTTTTTTATCAAAAAACAAAAACTTCCCTAATAATTAGACTCCAAAATATTTTTCAAAAATTATATTTCCGATATTATTTTTTTAATTTTTTAATATTTTTCACTATAATTCATCATTCTTAATTTATATTATGTACAAAATTTTTTTTATAGATTTTTCTGAATTATACGACTAGTTACTTTTCTAATTTATCATCTTCAGTTTTACATTTCAATCAACCGAAATTTCTATCTTACACTAATTCGCATAGTTGGAAACAAGATTTTCCTCCCCCACGAAGTCTCTATTATCCCACCCCCGAAGTTACCTAATCAGGGTTCACGAAGCCACCACGTGAAATCTTGCACGATCTGACGTGGAATAGCTGCTCGTACGTGATCTCCAAGAGTTGGATATTCTCTCTCCTGGCCTCTTGGTGCCTTTCCTCGCTCTTTAGCTAGGAAGAAACACGGAGGTAGGAAAACTAATTCACTTGGTAAACAATAATTCCGTAGAGATGCGCAAACATTTGACACTTTCAATTAAGACGATATAATTGCACATGGTCGTTAACTACTTTGTATTTTGTATATCAAGCTAGAGTTTAACATACTTATATTACATTAACCATTTGGGAAAAATGAATGACATTAGTCATATCGTGCTGTATGACGCTTAATTATTTGTCTAGTTGATCGTAAAGAGTAATTTTAGAGTAAGATGAGAAAAGAGAGGAGAGAAATTCATATAAATGTGATTGTTGTTTCAATCAATATTAATTTTTTAAATTAATAAAATATAGTAAATAAATAATAATAAAATATAATATAATAAAATATAGTTTTATTAAATTTAAAAATATAAATGAGATATCCTGTATATATTTTTAGATGTTAAATAGTTAGATAAATATTCGTTGTTATGATGACTCGATGATTCAAATATCACGAAAATATTCGAAAGAAAAACTTAAGAGGATTAAAGACAAAATAGCGACGGATCAATACAATTCTTTGTTTGTTACCATCAAAAAAGGAATATTTATATCGGATTACTTTCTCTTTAAAACAAAATATTAAAATATTTTTTATAATTTTATATTTTTTTTATAATTTTATAATTATATATATATTTTTTATAATTTTTATAATTTTATATTTTTTTTGTAATAGTTTTAAAAGATAATTCAATTTTAAAAATTCAAATAAGACATCATATGTACATATATGTATATATTTACGCCATCTCAAATGGCGACGAGAGGCACGAAATGTCCCTAGATTCGGAAGGTCGCAAAAAAATTATTCCGAGAAAATTGTTTAATGTTACGAGAAAGAGAACAATATTACTTATCGCTTGAAATGTCGCGGAATAATTTAACGAGAACTGGCAATGTGCCCTTCTATTCGCAGAATGATCTCACCCGGTCCGCGATGTTCGTTTTAAATTGGAAGTCGGAAGCGGGTGAAGCCGATTGTCGGCCATATTAAATCATCTTGTTGTCGACTCCTCGCGATATCCAACTTTCTTCGTCGTTTCCATTTCAGAACATCTTCTCAACACCTCCTTAAAAAACCCTCTGGTTAAATTAAAAAACAAGACGATCACGACAAACGAGGCAAGAGTGAAGAAAGAAGCAATTTCCCTGCCGCGTGAAATGTTCATCGTGAAAAGTACCTTGACGCCTTTTCATTAACGACGCCATTCTGATTGGAACGCGATGTAAAAGTGTTTTCCATTACATTTCCAGCCCGTTTCCTCTTCAAATCGTGCTTAACACACACACATACAGAGAGAGAGAGAGAGAGAGAGAGAGAGAGAGAGAGAGAGAGAGAGAGAGAGAGAAAATAATTGTAATTTTGTGTTCGAGACATAAAATTATCGATAATTATTGATCGAGTTAATGTTAGGTTTTGCAATAAGAGTGTTTAACTTTTAAATCGTGACGAGAATTTTTAATATAGCTAATGGCGGTGTGACATCTATTTGATACATATCTAAATAGAAATGTTTAAGATCGAAGTTTTTATCTGTAAAGTGTATGAAATAAACTGGTAAATAATTCTAAGAACGATCTCTGATGTATAATGATGTATAATATATATATGTATAACATATTTGGTGTATAATAGCGTTGTTGTATTAATGGATTAGAAGTTTATAAGTTATGACAATAGATTTTAGATAATACTGTTACTATATTTTCATTTCTATTCTTTTGAAATACATAAAAAGATAATACAATGGAATATCAATGTTATATCTCTTAAATAAAAATTATTAATAAATATCAGATAATATAGAATTCAATTTATGAATATACAACATCTACTTTCTTAGAATAACTTAAAAAATAAAAGTATCAATTTATCATTTTTCTTATTATAATATATGTACAACTAACGATTATTTTAATAGAACCATCTTTGTCTATTTACACCAACTGCACCAGAATCAAAATATGATCCAAATTTCGCTTACGCGTATAGTAAGTATTTGCTCCCATCTTGGAAAGGGCAATCTGACCAATCGAACACTATTCGACGACACGTCAGGCAACAAATATGCCACGAGGAAAAACGTGGGCCGACATCGCGACCAAACAAGAAAATAACGCAAAACGGACGTCGACACCGTTCCACTTACGGAACGTCGATTTCCTCGTTTCTTCTTCGTGAAACGAAATCCACGTCCTTTTCCAGCTGTTCCCTCTACAGAGACCCTTCCTTTTCCGCCCCATAATTCTCAGCCTTGATCCTCGCTGAAATATTCATCAACCGTCTTGTCCCGATTCTCTTTTCGGTCTCTTTCAATTATCGCTCTGGACAAGTCGGGTCCGTTCCTTTTCCTCCTTTTTTTTTTCAGGTTAGGTTAGGCAGGTTCGTGTTGCCTCGTCACGGTCGTTTAATCGTAAGATCAAATTCTTGGAGTTGACAAAAAAAATAAGAGGACGGCAAATTGACCGAGTAAGAAGTCAACATGGTAGGCGATAGACGCGTTTAGTAGATCCAGGTTCCTCGTTATCGAAGTTAATGGGCCGACCCCGGTGACTATGGTATAAACAGTGGTTAACTATAATGAAAAGGTGAATAGAGATTAATAGCATCAGGGTGACACATAGTGATTGTTGGCTAGATAGGTTTTAGGAGGGAACAAAGTGGATCTCTATTATAATAGGATGATCAAAAAATTAAAGCTCTCTCGTCAATAATTTATTAGGGAGAATTTAGTCTTTTGTGATTCAATGTATTCTAAAAAAAGAAAAAAGAGAGACGGACAATATCAGACTTCGTGACTCGAGCATCTGAACTTCGGGTCAAATCGGAAGTATTCGGTTAAATGTTGATAGTTCGTATTACTAGGGATTTGACTCGGCAGTAAACAATCTGACTTCGGATCGACTCGATAATAATTAGATGCGATCGGTTAGAAAAACTGAATATAGTTGTTAAACCGATTTTAACCGATTATTGTCGTGAATAGTTATTATTATAGTATTATTAACATTTAATAAACAACAAAATAACAAGATTCAGAATTGTCTATATTGCTTATTCAAATATTAATTGTGATCTAAATAAAATATTTGGTATTTTATTTTACTTTTTGAATATATTTGCATTATTTTCATATGTAATAACAAGGAAACATCTTCCAACTGATATATCTTCCTTCAAATTTAAACATCTTCCTTCCTTTAAACATATCAAGTCAATTACTTTTTAAATGAATAATAATCTAGCTCTAATAAGATTAGTTTAGTTGTGTGACTCTTTACTTCATAGATTTGTCTTCTATATTATTTATTATATTTCATGAATGAAATATCTATTTGCTCGATTTTCATCTCCTATTATATAATTAGAATCAATTAAGATTTACCTGGTGAATATAGGTCTATTAATAGCACATCAGACAACGATGATAAGTGGACGATCACGTCAATAGGCGTATCAGAAATAATAATACTAGTTGAATAAGATAAACTGTAGATTTCAAAAATTTGTTGCTCGTTGTTCCATTGTTCTTTTTACCTCGCTTCTCTTGAACTTTACGCTGCTTTTGTGTATGCCATCCCTGAAACTTTTCTGAAAGATTCAATCAATTTTTAAAAAATTTTTTTTTTTTATATGCTTCTCTCTTTCTCTGTCTCTTTTTTTTATTAAAATGAGAATATTTTGTAGAAAACTTCAACGATCATATACATAATCATTATATTTTAAGAATAAATTTTTTCCTGATATGAAAGAAAATAATGTACTAATATTTGATTATTTATAATCAATTTATAATAATAATTTATTTTAATAAATTTTATAATTATATAGACATATACAAAAATATCGTATTTTTAAAATTAAAAATAGATTTAAATTATGTTTTAAATAGCAATGAAAATTTGCAATATGACGCAGTAAAATTTCATACACAGTCATATTTTTAACCAATGTTATTAATGAATAATAAATTATTGAAAAATAGCATACTTTTTTTAAATAACAATTTCATTACTATTTTTCTGAACTCTTTTAATCAAAATCTTTATATAAGAATATCATAAATTCGAAATAGTTTTAATTCTTCATTATGAAATATTCAACCAGTCTATTTTTCTTTTTTTTTTTTTTTTAATTAATTGAATTTAAATATATCAAAATATTAGTATAGAATTATAGAAAAAAAAAAATAACATCATTCCATATAAATTTTGCAAACAAAATCGTATATTGTCATGTGCGTTCTCTGAAAGAAATTTTCGATTGGTACTCGTTGTTTTGGTATACAAAACGAGTCACGCGATATGTCGGTTTTCTTGTTTGCTTTTTGAAAGTATGGAAGAGGGAAAATGTCGAGTCGTGGGGAAACAGCCGAGCTGTGTAAGATTTATTTGCTTACGACGTAATGTTACTACGAAGATTGATGTTTGATGCTTACTATGGATGCACAAAATATTTGTACATAATTTTTTTTTATTTTTATATTTATTTTTATATTTAACTATTCTTTTTTTTTCGTTTTATTCCATAATTACATTATAGAAAATAATATCTTTTCCTTTTTTAAATTTTTTAATAAAATAAAAAATAAAATCTTTTATTATATTTCTTTTATACGATTATTTTCAATTTTAAAAAATTCTATAAAATCCTCACAACGATTTTTTATTATCACTTATTTTATTTTCTATTCTCAATCTTCTTTTTATAAAATAAAATGTCAAAAAGAAATGTGCAATATAAAGTTACACAATACGGAAAAACTACAAATACATCTTCCTTAGAGTATCATTACACTTAAAAAGTAATAATCATAACAAGACAAACCTCGTTACACTCATTTTACAATTGAAATTGCGTGACTCGGCTCTATGCAGTAATATTTTTTCGCTCTCATTTTCTTTTCTTTACTCTTTCATCACGATTCCAGTCAATGAAATAATACACATAACGAAGAAAAAAATTAATATGTTTCAATGGAAGGATCGTGATATGATATATTCGTGATCCACGTGATTTGAGTCCATAATCATTGCGAAAATTACGTGGTCCCATCCGATTACGTATTCTACGGAAGAAAATCGTAAAGATCAAGCTAGAGCAAATGGTAGTAAAGTTCTCTGCGCGAGACAAAATTAATCCATTCGTCATTTCGATTTCTTACTTCAATTTTCAAACAGCACGCGCTATCCTATGACAGGCCAAAGAATTATGTTAACTGTGAAAACGACAATTTGATAACATCTATTCAAGTTTCCACGTAAATGAATCAATATATCCCGATATTAATTAAACTTTGACTTTCCACCATTTTGCCTGAATGATGAATCGTAATCCGTAATTATTTTCAATGGTTAGAGACGAAGAATCGCTATATATATGTTTTCTGTTTAATTGGATTATGTGCAAGAGTTTTGAATGCATGTAATTTTAATGGATATTGTTTTTTTTTTATTTGAATATTAATCATCAATGATGAATATTAATTCATCAATTGTTGTTTCATAATATTGAAATATAGGTTAGGTTATTGTGCATGAAGTAACTTTCTAACTATGTAAGATAAAAAAGATGAAACAAAACATGAAAATAATAGTTATTAATTGAGATAAAGATATTAATATAGATTTCTTTGAATGATAAGGATAATAGAGACGATTTTATCGCTTTTCATTCGTTTTAAGTTGGATTTTAAACAGAAGTGAAAATTTTCAAAGAAATACGTTTCTGAAACTACGTCGAAGTCAGAAGAAGTGACTCTGTACAGAATGCTGAATAAGATTGCTGGAAATCTCCCTTAATATTCAGTCTGCCCTCTATATCTACTTATAGAAATGTTTTGCAACTTTAAATAGCTATACCTTACAATCAGAGATAATAGGCATCTTAAAATGATTTTAAAATCGTTCAATTATCTATGAAGTTGCGAATAAATATATTTCCATTAAATAATAAAAAAAAGGAAAAATATCTTTACAAATCGAAAAAAAAGTTGAAAACATATTTAAATATGTTAATAATAATTTATCAAAGTTAAATCTTAATTATCAAAATTGTTTTCTTAAAATAAAAAAAATATTTTCAATCAACAGTAAATAATAATAGAATAGAATAATAATAGAATAAATAGAATAAACTAATAATTGTAATTTGATAAAAACAGAGAATGCACAAATGCTACAAAATCGCATAAAATCTTCTTTTATCCCTCGTATTTCAACATATGAAAAATCGATATTTTGTATACAATAAAAAAATGAAACAAATAATATAAAAACCGATGATGCATTTCATCCTTTGATAAAGTTATATTTCAATATTTACAATTTATATTTACTGTGACTGTTCTCCAGTAGATTGAACATAGAAAATCAGTCTTTCACTTAACAGTTGATTTGATTTTTATTTCATTATTTTGATACAATTTTATCGGAAAACGGAAAATATCTTTTTATTTCAATCATAGTTCAAATTTCAAATAATCCAATATCAAAAGAAAGTTAATAAATATTTATGATTTTAGATTCACATCATATCTTTTTTATTTTAATTCATAAAAAATCCATTTTATATTTTTTCCTAACCTCAATAATTTCAATTATTGCAATTATAGTTTTTTGCACAAATTTGAAGTAATTTATATATATTGCACATTCTATACTTATTTCTAGTTTTTAGAAGAAAAATAAATATACCTTTTTTTTTTTCAAATTTTTCATTTTTTTGACTTCAATCATTTCAATTATACAGTCCTACTGCAATTTATGTTCTATCTGTCACATATCCTATAATTCACAGAAAAAAGAAATCAACTTTTTATTTAAACAAACAACATTTTTCTAATGTCCATAATTTCAATCGTAAAATTCTTCACAAGCATCTAATACGTATTCCATAATGGAATGATTATATGTAGAAAATTAACTTATTATATAAATATATAAATAATACATCGAATAATCTAAACCCTGTCTCCTGTGAGACAAGCGATTCGAGCGCTCCCTGAAACGATCTCATCATTTCGTCGTCACGAAACTCGCCATAAGGAGACATAACGAGCGCGATACATAAGAAGGGCCTAAAGGGAATAAGTGAGACAGAGAAAGTAGAAGACAACAATCATGAGTTCATAGAAGAGGAAACACTTACGACATAGGGCTCGATATTGTGTGCTCCGCATCGTTCCCGCTGGACAAACAGCCGGTACACCATCTTCGTACAATTCTCTTGGTGTGTTCCAATCAAGAGGGCCATAATTGCACACGAGAGCCTCCACACGAACTTCTCCGTATGCAATGGCTATTGTATGTTCGGTTGACGACGTCGCCATGTTTTTGACTTTGAATCTCGATCGCTGTGTGTAAATTGCACGACCGCAACCGATCCGGCTGATTGTCGACAACGCGAATGGAATGTAAGGCAAGTTACTTTTTGCGACGAAATTCACCAATCTAGAATGAATAAATTGAAGTATCTATCTTAATATAAATCATTTATTATAAAAGTTTATTCATTTTTTTCGTAACATTTCCATCGAAATCAAATAATGATATACAATGAACGTTGTTTAAAACGAAAATAGAGATCTAAGTGGGAATAGAATTGAAAAGATTATTAATTAAATATCAATTCTACTAGTTCATGAATATCTACTTACATTGCTAGATAATAGTAGAAAATGATAAAATTCTGAAAATATTGGCCAATTTGAATTCCGATTTTTAAATAATAATATGTTTGAATTTAAATGCGTACTATAAATTCAAATATATATATGCGTGAATTAATAAAAAAAATAGAAAAAAATAAATTTAATCCTAAAAGAGGTAGCAATATATATAGATTAGAATATTACATTATTAATTTATTTAATATGTAAATTATTTTGTATCAGTTATTATTCTTTGAATCATTTAAAAACTCTATTATTATTATCTCTATTATTACTATCTATTTATTCATTCTCATTTAATTTGATTCAATGAAAATTAATTAACTACTCTATCAAAATATAATTACTAGTACTAATGTATATATATCTAGTCTTAAATTTCAAATGAACAGAAATATCTATTGATTACTATAATTACTATAATAATTCTATAATATATATTAAAATATATTATATTTTAATTATATACAAATAAATGAATTTCAAAATATAAAATTAATTATTAAAGAATTTTATTTATTAATTGTATCCTCTGCAGGATAAAAATTATTATCACCAAATTATTTTCAATATCATTAATAATATTCTTATTAGATTTAAAAAAAAAAAAAAGTGATCAATTTTTACTTGTTTTCTTAGGTAAAATCAAATCTCTACAATGAAATCCATCTATCCTATATAGATAGTTAAATGAAACATAGAGAGAGTAATAGAAAGAAAGAGATAAAAGTATAAAGAAAAGAGCCAGGATTATAGGAATAGTGGAGAAAGAATCAATGTAAACCTTTGGCCAAATTCAAAGGCGAGTTAACAGTGTCTACACATACTGGATCGACTATTCACAAAGTGAAAGCCTTGGCACATAAAAGTCGTTTCGATCAATTCAACTTAGGCTATTGCCACAGTGCTCAGAATGACAATACGTGTGGATTTTCTCGCGAACTTGCGCACACATTTACACGGTATTCGACGTGTATCATTTAGGTAAGTGCATATACAGAAATATATCACAATGAAAGAACTTGTATCTTTTGATTTCTTTTGTATTTCTTCTGACTTTACTTTTGATCGAAAATTGAAAGGAAATCATTCAAATTTCATTAAATATGATTTAATGATGTTAACTCGTTGATTGTTTTCCATTGCACGAAAGTTAGGTTATATTTTATTATGCAAATGAATATTATTATAATAATATTTTGTTTGAATAATTTTTAAAATTGAATTTTTACTTTTATTTAAAAATAAATTTATTTGAAATTTTTATTTAAAATTGTATATAAATTTAAATTATATATTGCTTCATTATAATTATTAAAATAAAATTTTGGCGAAATTATTGGAATTTTTAATTTTTCAAATTATTTAATTATTATATTTATTATAAGAAAAAATTTTTTAAACAAAAATTGATAGTATTGAATATTATATTTTTCTATTCAACGATAAATTATGTAAAAAATTTCGAGATAAAAATTATATTATAAACGGAAATAACATCAAAAAGTCATGTTTTATTTCACATTTTTCATTTTTTTGCGTTTCGAATCGTCCTTAATGCAAATAGTGAATTTTCCCAATGAAATCTTACCAATGTGATTAATGTATACCTATTTTTTTTAATTTGTTTTTTTAACGATATTTCTCACTTCCTTTTTTTTTTTTTTTTTTTAATCTTTTTAATCAAATCCTATTTATCTTGTTAAATTACAAGCCATACGTACTTACATGTCAATCGTTTGTAAGCAATAAATCTTTACAAATATGTTTGCTAGAATCACTAATTTCAGAAAATCAAATAGAAGAAAAATATATTTAAGATTTAATGGTACTTATATTACTACTTAAAATTTTAATGTTCAGTTTTAAATTTAGCAATTTTTTTTTTATCTCTTTGGATATATTATAAAATTAAATTCTAAATTATGTAAAAACAAGATTTAAAACTATTTAAAATATTTAAAAAAATTTTTAGATTTTTATATGATATGATATAAATTAAAAATTGAATCATTTAATTATAAAAATTGCAATAAAAATGTAATAATACTATAATTTAGAACTTTAAAGATAAAAAATCTTTCTCAAAATAATTCTACAATTGATTGTAAAATATTTATAAAGATATATTTTGAATATTTATTGAATATTTATTTCATTTTCAAATATTAAATTGCTGTTAATTATCTCAAATTTCATCAATTAATTATACTCATTATTTAAACATCGAATAATTCAAACTTTGCCATATAAAATTTTTATTTTTAAACTCATATTTTAAAACAGATTTACGATTATTTAATTTAAATTTTTTTGACATTCGAATGATCTATATATTAATTATAGAACATGACATATATCAATATATATATATATTGAAAATCTTTTTATTACTCGTTTATCAATTTTTTATGCCAGGTATTCTTGGAGTTTTTGCAAACTCAATTATTCCTCCACGGCCGATAAAATCTTCAATTACTCCAGACAACGAATTATTTTGGTACTTTGATCTCGAGCAAAAGAAACAAAAAAAGGAAACAAAATTTTTAAACAATTCTTTAAAAGTGAATTCTTAATTGAAAGTAATGGTGGCAAAATTTAAAGTATTAAATATTTTAAAATATATGTGTATATATATAATTATTATGCAGATATCATGTTGAAAAAATTAATTTTGACTTTGTACAATTCTTTCGAGTTCAAAGAAAGAAAAAAAAAAAAACTCAAAAAAACCATCATATAAATAAAATTTAATTTAACGAGACACGTTACAATTGAACGTAATGCACAGATATACAATGAAATTTCTAATACCAAGTTTATTTTCGTAAAAAAAAGAGAGAGAAAGAAAAAATATATAAAATAAAAAAAAAATGATATCGGTGCGAAAATATAATGAGCTCACCCGAATTCCGCTGAATCGAAATCTTCTACTTCGTCGTACCAAGATTGAATATGAAAGCGAATCCTTGCGATAGATGACAGGTTTCCCATGTTATCTATCTCGAAAATGTGCACATTCTGCCATACTCCAAATCCTGCAAAAAAAATATATTTATGATATAATATTTATATCTAGAATAATTATAATATCTCGCAAATTAATTAAAAATATTTGCAGTGATAACATAATATCTAATAGGTAATATAAACATTTATGAAGTTAAAGTTATTATATATGTTAAAAGATCATATTTATTCTACATGTTTAAAGATCCTTGGTTCTACATATGAAAACAATATAGAAGACAATAATGAAGACAAATAACTATAGAAGGTTTTAATACAATTTTAATTGATTTTATGATTTCACGTAATTTTTGTTTTAAATTTTTGTTTTAAATTTATTTAATTTAGAACCTAATCTAGAAATCAATTCCACTCAATAAACATAGATTTAATCTAGAATCCAATTGTATTTAACGAAACAAGGGAATCAACTTTGAAATTATAGCCAATGAAATTAATGAACTAACTTAGGAATTGTAAGTAGAACTTTGATCAGAAACTAAGGAATCAATTTAGGAATTATATCCAATGGAATTAAGGACCTAACTTAAGAACTTTACTGATTGAATTGTATCTTACAGATTTAGAGAATTAATTTCCACTGTGACTTTGTGTGATTTTCAAATGATTTTGAGAATCAAACTAGGAATTGTATCTTAGAACCTAGAGAACCAATCTACACAAATAGAAAAATTTGTCAGATGTGATTCACATGTGACTGATCTCCCATTTATTTCAATCTCATATCTCCAGATCGTTTTAATAAAAGATATCCTGGTCATTGGATTGGTAAAAGAGAACCAACTGCATGACCCACATGCTCCTCAAGTTTCATTCTTTCAGATTTTTTTTGTACGAAGGTGATTTGACCAACTTATCCGCTAGAAAAAACTTGAATGAGACAAAATCGAGAATATTGAAATGTTAATGAAAAAATAAAAAATTAGAGGTAAATGTCTTTTTTGCAAAATTATTAGTATTATTAATATTATATACATAATTTTATTCTTGATCAATAAGTATTTTTTTTAAATTCTTTTTTTATTAATAATAAAAAAATAAAATTACATACTTTTTGATCAGGAATTTCTACAGTTACTAAATATTTTTCCAGTTTCATCATACATTTTTCTATATGAAATTCTTTTCATAATTATTTGTTTATACACATTTTATACACATTTTAAAATATTTTATTTTACACACTGGAATTATTGTAATTTTATCGTATTTTTATTGTTTATTCTTTATTTCATATTGTACTTTATTTTAAATTGATTGAATCAACAAGTATGATTTAATAATAAAAAACGTAACTCGCATTTTAAATTAGCAATATTTTTCCTTTATTACTGATGTATATATATATACGAAAGAGAAGTAAATAAGCTTTTTATTCGTGTCACTTTATTTATTTTCTTCAATTTTCGTTAAGATATTCGAAACATTTCCAGATAAAAAAAATTCCATGAATTTATAAATTTTAATTTTCATATGTTTCAATCAGTTTTTCTTTTTAGATAATTTTATTTTATCTATATATAAATAAATATATAGATAATAAATAAATTTGAAAACTATATAATTAAATACTAAACGATATAATTTCTAAAAATTCTAAAAATTTGTATTACCAACTATTGGAAAACAAATAAAAAATTTTTAAACAAAAGTTAATAATTTTGAACAAGCTTAAAGAAATTATTTCTGAAAAAAAATGATTCAAATATCATAATTAATATATTTGATGATTACAAGCATACAATAATTCCGTCTTTACAAAATATCCGTCTAGATATTTGATAATCGTTTGTCTTGCAGATCAAACTCATCCAAGAGTATCCATCGCAATAGACAATAAACCAAATGAAATTTCTCCCTTTTACAAGCGCCACTATCGTTTTTGCGGCTTACGATTGCAAATTGAAACGAAGCCAAAACGAATTATAAGGGGATGGAAAAGGAAGAAGATAGGGTGGAAGAGAGTGGTATTCGTAAACAAGGAGAGAAATTGCGATAAAAAAAGGAGAACGCACAGACACATTGATCTTGTTACAGAAGGAACAATTTCGTGTTCGAACGTATACGCGATGGATATTGAAAAATGATAGGGACGACTAAGGGAAATGAAAAATGATATATATCCGTGGGAGTTACTTGCCAACATCTCTGCACTGATCTTTCTCGAGAAGATTGCACTGTACCACCCATCGTCTCGCGATAAGAGCAAGTTCGTCATCCCACATCTGTCAAAATAAATATCCCCATTAGATTCGAATACGAATGATTATTTTTATAGAAAATCGATTAACTTTTACATGATGTTTCATTTTTATTAATAGTAATATGATATCAGTTGAAATGAATACAAATATATTTCTTTTATATGGAATAATAATTTTTTAAACACTAGAAATAATTGCTCAATAATATTTTAATGAATTTGAATTTATATTGATCAGTTTAATAATCAAAGAATATTTAAAATAATAGCATAAAGATATACATATATATTTAGATAAGAGTAAAAATTGTATTAAATAAAAGCAGAAACAAAAGAGATTTATGAAATAAGAATGAGAAATAGCTGGATTTATAGACATGTAGGAAAGTTGATATTTTTTTAGATAATTCAATATCTGAATGATTGTTCATTTTTTTTCTTTTTTTTTCTTTTTTTATGACCATAGGCATTATGGTTTAATCTAAATTAAATCTTACCACTTCCATCATAAATTTTGCTGGACGTTGTGGACCTGGATTTCCTCGTATTTCTTTCCCACTTGCCACAGTATTGCGATAAGTATTGTGCCAATGGAGTATAGTTTCAATATCTTTGTCGTCCAGATCAGCATGCTGAAGGTTTATACATCTAATGCCATCAGTATCGAGCTAAGAAAATGACGTATTAGATACCTATTGAAATTTTATTAATAATTCAACATTAGGAATAATAATTATTTTAACAATATATATATAATTTGTTATATCAATTTTGAAAATAAAATCGATAAAATATTCTAATATTTAAGTAGAGATTGTCTCAAATGTTGAGAATCTGAGTTTCAAGATTCGTTGGAAATATTCGCGTGAGATTAGATATCTACTAAAATCAGAAAATACTATTATCTACTATTGATCTATTACTAAGATCCTGAAAGATTCATTTTTGGATCTGCTTGGACGATCGGATAATCTTAGATTTTTAAATTAAATTGAATTATCGAGATCTTGTTCGATTTCATCTGAATCTTTCTAATCTATCTTGAAAAAATTATATACTATTTTTGTATACTATTTTTATAATTGTGTAGTAATTATATATATTTATAATATAATATAAAATAAATAATTATAATTATAATTATATTATGATATATATTGAGATACTTTCTAAAAATTGTTCAAGATTGAACTCGAATAGAATCAGAATGTCAATATATCACGACATTTTTCAAATTGAATCATTGAATTATGAATTTCATAAAAATAACCTGTTCAAAATTTTCATAGTGAAGAGTGCTATCGAATTTAGTGGAAAGATACTGGAAGTAGATATTTTCTTTAGGCAAAGCTTTGATGTGTTGCTTCATCAGATTCGCTTTGATGTGTAGAGGAAGTATTTTTACTTGAGTTTATCATGAACACGTAGTATATTTTTTATAACTAGAAAAAACAAATTTTTTTATATAAAAAAATTTATATACACAATGACTAATAAAAACTACATTTGTAATACCTTAAATAATAGAAACAAGGTAGATTAATGAAAAAATGCTATAAAATTTACAAAATAATTGAAATGAAAATCACAGAGAATACTAAAAACTACTGCAAAAACTTAGATTAAAGGGAAATAACAACAGAGAGCTATCGAACTAATGGTATTTAATCGAAAGGTTTCTTCTCAGCTGTTTTCTGTATTGTCATTGATTGAGCGTATAAAAAAGACTACTGTCCTATTCATCTTTTTCGAGTTTAAATAACCAGTTTATAGTCTTTTATTCTGACGAAAGTAAAAATAAATTTTTGAAATATTTAAAAAAGGCTAAAAAAAATTTAACATAAAATTGTTATCGTATATTGATAATTAATTTACATATATAAGCAAAATTTATTATATATATTTTATTTCAAATTATCTTATTTAAATTGTTATAATTATATAATATTATGTGACACGTACACAATTGAAAACAGTTACAAAGTACTAGATGGTCACGTATAATGTAATCTGTTTCTAACATATCCATATTTCAAAAGTTCGATTTCAACGATATGAATATAATACATATAGTATAATTTATGTATCGAGTATAAATCATTGTAACTAAAATATTGAACACGACAGCGAAATGTGGTCTTCCAATATATGTATGTTGATATAGGTAAGAAACTTTCATAGAAACGTATTCTATGCTGAATATATTTCTAACAAAAATTATTAGAATCATCGTAACAATTTTAATTAAATAAAATAATAAATGAAAGTTTATTATTTATAAAGTACAAATATTGAAAATAATTATTGTATTATTATTGATATTCTATTATTTTATCATAACATTATATTTTATTTATTTCATTTAAATATTATATATCTATATAAAAATTAATTTATATAAAAAAATAAATAAAAATAAATAATTATATAAATATATATATAATATATATATTATATATTTTAAATTGAATAATGATTTTATGAAAAAGCCAGCAGATCCGAAATTTTGAGAAGAAAAAATTTGATACGCAAACGGTGCTAAAATAGAAGAAAGTTAACGTAATTGGTACAAATGATGTTAAGGAATGGCATCGTTATTCGAAATTCCATAGATCGTAATTTCACACATATATGTACACCGATAGTCATCGTTAATACAGTATTCGACTCTTTACCGCGAAAGGTATTTTCGATATATCGCGTACTTGACATCGTTATTTTCTCGCTTCATAAATTTAAACCAGTTGAAATTTTGCGCTGCCCGATCCAACGTCGAAACTTCTTGTCGCATTTCACACCAATGTGCATACGAAATATATGAAATAATAATTCATTTCTAAAAAGTTGAGTAACAAAATATAACCATTATTTAATTTTGTTTTGTTGAATAAATTAGTTAGTGGAATTTAAGAAATATTAAAAATTAATATAATCATCAAGCATATTATTAAAAAAAAAATTAATTTGGAAATACTATTTGCTAATCTAATATTTGACATGATATAAAAATAATAATATATGTCCTTTCCTATTGAATATTTCATTTGATTCCGTATTATATACAATTATATAAACAACTCTTTGTTATTAATAATAAATCGCAATTCCAAAAATAACGCCTAAAGCAGAGAAAACGTGACATAGTAATTGCAATAATGATATTTTAATTTATGAGAATCATTTTCAAAAAGATATGATATATAGAACTTTTATAAAGGAACTTTATTCAAATTAAATCATCTCAAGATAAAAGTACTCGAAAAAAATAAAATTTTTCATGTATACTTTCAGAATCAAAAATTTTATATTATAGAAGATGACAATGCAATAATTACGCTTTATTTATTTATCTATTATTAAATTAATTATTTGAATAAAATATTTTATTATATCTATATTGTGAACTAATCTTTCGACTTTAACTTAATTTACTCTTAATTCAAACTTCAATTGATATTGAATTTTTAAATCACTGTGTTAAATTTAAATTGAATTATTTCTTAAACCAATAAGAAATTTTCATCGATATATATTTATTAATTAAAATATTTCTAAATATTTATCAGAAATAAAAATTTAATATTATACAAAAGATAGGATATGACTACAAAATAATATTGTTACACAAAATTCAATGAAAGATTATGGATTTTTTACAATTTTTCACTTTCATCAACATCAAGATGGTAGCACTGACGTGCATCTGGCGACAGTTCATATTTGACGCGAATTAACATTCGTCTTAAGAATTCACATTTTTCTATAAAATTTCGAGGGTTGAATGTGTTCGCGTTATTCTTCACGAGTAGTGGCACGATCTTCTAATCTGAAAATGTACACCGAGATTAAACGCATTGTGTGCGTGATACCGGATCGACAATAATGAGTAGTGTCGTCGTTCCGAATTTCTTGTTGCGCAATTCGCACCTTCAATAGATTTTTATATTCTCGATTCGCTAATTTCGGTCATATTTATTATCGCCGATATCGTATCGTTCGTTCATCTCAAAATAAAAATTTCGATGAGACAATAATAAAAAAAAAAGAAAATCAATGTTGAAAAAGAATATGATTATCCGTTCGCAAAATAATATTAGAAATTGTGAAAATTAAGGTTAGAAAATGATTTTCATATTACAACGTTATTTCATATGGCACTAAAAACAAGGTATGTCTTCTTTTTCTTTAATGAAATTATCAAAAAATTTTATATTTCATATTATTATAAAAAAATGAAATCATTTATTAAGATCTATTCTACATTAATTATTATCAGTTAAAAAACATTAGGAGAGCAAATAGCAATGAAACTATTGGATTCTTAAATAAAATAATTCTTAATAGGCAAGAAGTTATATTTCATTTTTCATTAAGTAGAAAATACAACGATCGAAGTTATATTAAATTAAGGTAATATAATAAATAAAAAATATCTTGTGTATTTCATGTGTTCAAATTTGCAACTACTAAGGTCTAATATTTTTGTATTCTTGCCTATTAAATTTTTTTTGAAAAATATTGTAATGAAAGATTATAAAAACTTTATGATAAATAATAATATAATAATTAAAAAATATTTTACTTTAACATTTTTATTTTTGAACTGTTTTTTTAATTTCATGTTTAGTTTTCAATTGTTATAATTTAATGATACATATTTGATAAATTATGAATTCAATAGAAAATAAACAATAGATGATTAATGATCAATAATCTTATTCAGCAGTTTCTGATTCGTCAAATCAGTCAATTAAACGGATAAAATTACCACGTTTACTCGGAATGATTAATATTTACCATGTTAATGAAAAATTTCATCGATAGAATAAATAAATGACATTGACATCATATAAGTCAATATAGAAGATATGTATTAAAATTGGCCAATTCAATGATAATTTCATTTCATTTCCATCTCAAATTATGATGGTTTATTTAATGTGTATTAATTAGGATTATATATTACCATACAATTAATTTGTAATTAATTGTTTAAAATTATAAAAGAATTTATAAGAAAGAAATATAGAGTTAAAATAAATAAAATTTTAATTAAAATTTTACAATAAAATTTTATATAATCTATAAAATATATTATATCAATTTTAAATAATCCATAATTCAATTAATTTTCATTTGTAGATATTTTAAATTAAATTTGCTATTCATAATATTCGTTTACTTTACATTATTACATCCTCCTCTCTCTTCTCACTTTTTTTATATTTTATTTTATATTTTAATATTAAATAATTATTATTATATGTAAATATTTATGCAAATTTATATTTTTAAAAGAAATTCTATAAGAAATATAATAATTTCCAATTGTTAAATTGTGAGATTTTTAAAATTATTATTAAAAATGATGAAAAATACACTTATTTTCATTTATAAATATTTAATAACTATTAAAAAAATTATATTTGTTTCTAATAAATTATTATTATATCCAAAGTTAATTCATTATACTTTCTGAAAACTTAATTTTTTTTTATCACATTCGAAGTCTATTTCTGAATACTTAATTTTAACTATAAGAAATGAAAATCTATTCAAATAATAAATGTACAATTCTACGTACAAATAACAATTCTTGTAAAAACAAATCGAATACAAAAAAATGAAAACATGAGATCCAATGATATTCCGAACAAGTCCCCATATTTATTAAATAAATAAATCGAGTCACCGAAATATTATTATGTACGTACCGGAAATCGGCACATGGTGTGATTGGGGCAAATACGACAGTAAGGATTGTTCTCGAGGTTTATCGGGAACGATGATATTGTCCCCGTTAGTGAGCAATCACAGTAGCCCGTTAAGAACAATAAGAAGCAGAACCAGATATGACCTGTCATTCCGTCGGTTTTCGTCGTATGTTTCAACAGCCAAAAATTCACCACGACATTTTATCTTTTGCGTTTCACTACTGTCCGGGTAATCTCGCCGCTATCTTCACCCCGGAGCGATGTTTTCCGAATCGATTTTCCAATGAAACAGTGACAAGCCAGCCCCGCGACGGAGGATAATATTTTTCCTTCCGGAAATGATGTTCGTTAATAATGTTCGACCACACGTTCCGGTAAGTCTGTCAATTATGACTGTACAGGCATGCCTATGCAGGCCTACCAATACATGTGTATGATAAAACTGTGCATTATTTTGGCCTATACAAGACAACCGAAGCAAATATGAAAAATCATTCGATATTCAAGATGGCGTAATCGTTTATTATGTCTAATTGAGGTTATGTTAGTATGTGTTGTATATAAGTTGCAATAGTGTTAGGAAATATTCGATTATGATTTATTATCAATAGTTTAGAATAGGAAAAATACAGGTTAGCTCATATAGTGTGGCTATCTCGATTATTTTCGATTAGTATTTGATTGATCATAATACTTAGTTTTATCATAAACAAACGTTCTTGCATGTAACCTCAAATCCTTTTTTTATCTTATAATATCTTTTACCTATTGATTAGCAATTAGAACGATTTATTAATGTTGTGTTTATTGACCAAATAATGAATAAATGTTTTCATTTAAATATTTTAAACGAGCATTTGCTTTTTGTAATTTCTACGTCACGAAGTAGAAATACCAGTTAGTAAAATATGTTCATTGTGTTAAACGTATATTTCATGCGAAATATGCAAGAATATACATTTGAACAGTTACACTATCCAAAATCAACTGTTATAGTAAAAATACACAAAAAAGCCAGTCTGATAAATTAATAAAACACTAACGTAATAATTTATAATCGCAATTAATTTCTTTATCTTTCCAACAATTGTTCTATTTAAGCGTGAAATTGTTTAATACATTCTTTTATATGTTATTAAAGTTGACAAGCTTATTACATAAAATTTGAAAATTTATAAATAACTAATTTTTTTAGAAAATTTTACGTTGATTAAAAAAAGTGACTATAATTTATTTTTTCATCTTAACTTTTTTAATCTTTTAGAATTTTAAATAAAATAATCAATATAAAATGAAATTATTTTTATTTATTTCAATCACTTCTAATCTTACTTTTATTTTTTATTTACAATTTTTTATATACTTTATTTCTAGTGAATCTCTTTAAAAAAAATAATATTACTTAATTAATTACGTCTATAAAGCTCAAAAACAATTCGTGTATTTACAAGCATTTATGTGCTCAATTATGCTCTGTCGGATTTTTATTTCGACTATACACCGGAAGTTCCGGTGCATAGCGCTGCCATATAGCTCCCCAGGCGAAACCGCTATAACGCGTAAACGGCGTTGACGCAACTCACCGGTAAGTTGGACGATTCTCGGATGTTCAGCACGTGTTTTCATTTCGTTATCCCACCGTCTTCTTCCCATATCATTACTGTTTCAATACGCGCGGGAGGCGGAAACTTTTTCGAGTCGGCGAACCTTTTCCTTATATTGTTTTTTCTTTTTCTTTCATTCATGGTTTCGTTAGAATAGCAACAACCTTACCACAAAAGAAAGATTAGGAAAGGTTTATAGGTAACTGAAATTCTATATTTTGTTCGATACTTTTTTTCGTTTGTGAAAAGAGAAAAAGAAAAAAGAGAAATAAGAAAAATATGATGTGCGTCAAGTTTCTTGAATTTTAGATTAGGTTATGTTGTTTCTTGCACTATATATTTGAAACTGTTGAAATTTAAATAATCAAGTGAAAATGAAAATTAATTTTTTTTTATTAAAAATATTATTTTATTTAATATTTTGTGATTATTATATATCCGTTTAAATTAAGTTGGTAATGTATATTTTAACGTTTGAAAAAGTGTGATCTTTAAAATGTTTTTTAATAGAGATTGAAATTGGTTCGATTTTAAATTAAATGTTAATTTTTCTATTTTTGGAAAGATTTTTAAATAAATAAATATTATCAGTTACTTTATCAATGAGAATTCAATTTGTATTTTAGCTAATAAATTATTAAAATAATTTAATTCTTTTCATTTTGTGATATATCTTAATCTTAAGTTAATAAATTTTTATAACCAAAATAATCGATCTCGAGAAAGATAAATCAAGATTATAATAAAATATTTCAAGAAAAATAAATAAATAAATTTCTAGAAATAGTAATTCATGTCAGATCAAAAATATTTTATATGTTCTACTTCTATTTATACGTACAATTATATATAAAATTTATTTTGATCAAATAAACTCAAAATACTGTAAATAATGATTATTAATAAAAAATAAAGAAATATCTTGAAAATAATTTATTTCTTCATTTAATCTTTCATCTTGCTTATATGTAAATTATTTCCATAGAAGAAATAGGTAAAACAATTCTCAATATTTTTTTTTTTCTTTTTTTCTCTACACGCATATCAAATCTATGATAATTCTATACGTCACGTTGGTACACATAATTACATTGGTCTCCAGACAGTAAAAATAGGGCAGTAACATAGTTTATTAATGAAATTGTACCGATAAGAGGACTAATTGCTGTTGCATGCTATTGAGATCAAGCACCTATGAAACTTTTGCGTATCGTTTGTACCCGAGTTCTTAATTCACGGACTTTTTTCAAAATGATAAATGTTTTAAGTTAATGCATCTACCGCATGTTTAGGTAATTGCATTAAGTTCAATTCAATATAATCGTATATGTTGCGTTGTGTTTATGATACGACTTTCAAATAATGAAAATCAAAATAATATTTAAAATATTGAAAAACTAGAAATAACATTTAAAATATTGGAAAAACCACTATTGTCAATATTATTGACATTTTAGTGTCAAAGTATTTAAGGTTTTAAGTGAAGCGCTATCATGGATATTTTAAGATCGATCGTAAAACAAATTAACTCCTTGACGTTAAATTCTATATCTCGCACGCATCAATGCTTTTATGTACATAAGAATTTACCTAGATATGCAAGAATCTGAAAGAAAATTTTTTTCAGAATCATACTAGGATGCTTAAGGAAAGTATTATAAATTATACATATAATATTGAAATTCTAAAAAGAAATATTTACAATTATACAGTTTCATATATTTTTTCTTCCTTTTTTTTCTGTGCTTTTTTTATCGTACAAAGACTATACTATATCTGGATCATTAAACGGAGAAGTCGATGGAACTTTGCGCGCGGTTTTCAAAGAGCATAACTTCGAAAAGAAAAAGTTCGTAACTTTGTACAATATATTTTTCATTCTTGTAAATAGTAGATCATAGTGAGAAACTTTTCGTAAGTATTTTAATAACTTTGCTTGAAATAAATATAGGAATGAGTTATAAAAGAATAGTATTACGAAATAAATTTTTGAGAATCGAATATGAAAGAGAATAAGAATAATATTGACAAATATTAATATAATAAGAATAATATTTACAAATTTATATTAATAATAATAAAAAAAAAAGTGGATTGAAATTTTACTGAAATTTTCAATAAAATAAATTTTTTAGATAAAAAAATTCAGCTATTATTTTTTGAATTATTCAATTTTCATTCAGATTCTTTAATATTATGAAAAATAAATGAGAAAATTAAAATTGGGTCATATATATTACTGAATCTTCCAGAATAAAAAAAATTAAAAATGTTAAATATTTCAAAAAAATGGCAGCTCTTTTTAAATATAATTTTTTTAAATGTATAAAAAATAAATATTTCTAAAATTAAGAAAACTATTGAAAAATGAAAAAAATCCTGCAAAAAATAAGTATAAAAAAATTGTATAAATATTTGTAGAATTAACAACAAACTGTTAAACAAACGATTAAAAATTCAAATAAATAGCAATCAAATGTAACAAATAAGATATAGATAACTTTTCTATTTTGAAATTCCTGGAAAAATTTCGCGTACCACCTTTTCTCATAAAAAAATTTAATTAAAAATTTTTGGATTTAGAAATTTTTAAAAAATTTTGCGTGCCATCTCCTATTAAATTATATTTTCTTAATACAAAATTAAAATTTTTGGCATCAAAGTTTTTTCAAGAATTCTGAAACATAAATTTTTTTTCACATTTTTAATTTTAGTAGAAAAAATATTATTCTATAAAAAGTAACACATAAAAATTTTTTGAAATTTGAAATATTTACCTGTTGTAATATACTTATCTTTTTTATATTTAACTTTCTATCATATTATTAAAACATTTTTTTCATCATTTTGGTTATATCTAAATATATAATTGTTTACCTATTTTATATTTACTTAATACATAGTTATACTTAATACTTACTTCTTATGTGTTTTTTAGGAATACATAAAATATATCAGTTAACATTATTATTTTTATTTATGTCACTGTTATTATTCATAGAAAAAAATGTTTCAAATAAAAGTTAAATGATTTCAAATAAATTATTCTAATATAATTAATTTCTTCGTATTCACATAAAGAAATTATAAAACTTTAACTTTATTTTTTTAAATAAATTATTTTAAAAAAAAGTAAAAAAAAAAAATTAATTTAATCCATGATAATGTTAAACTTAATTATTTCTTTCTAAAAAGAAGTTTAAGATAAATGTTAATAATTAGAAAAGATTATATAATAAATAATATGTAATATAAAAGATAATATAAAAAATATAGATTGTATAATATAAAGAAATAATTTTATACAAAAAGTAACTTCTTTAAAAAAGATTTAAATACAAAAAAAAAAGAATATTGATATTTACTCTATTTACTATATTTAATATTCAAAACAAAAAAAAAAATATTTTTCTTTGAAATTTCTTTAGTAAGAAAATAACAAGCATACATGTTCAAATAAGATCAAATAATTTATAACAAAAAAGTATGAAATAGAAAATAATAATAAGTTTTAAATAGAAAATAATATAGAAAATAATACAAAAT